AGTGACAAAGCCAGCCACTACATCGCTGTGCCGCCCCAAATGCTACGTTAACTAGCATTTACTAAATTTCAGAAGCAGAGCAGCTTTATGGTAGCTGCAGACTGCTACTAGGTCATAACTGACAGCAATGACTTGATGAATGATGTTTTGACTGGCAGGCCATTTCAATGATGGGCATGGGAAATAAGATTTCGATATATTATTATCATCAGTTATATTTTACTATAATAATAATAATAATAATAATAATTTGTTTTTATTTGTTTATTTTAAGCATTTTCCCTTATCCTCTCTTGAATGTGCTGATCCTTTCTTGGCTGAGCCCCCCACTTTGAAAGTCATTGAGTCAGGTAAACATAAAAAGAAACAACAAAACAAGAAGTGGACATCAACAATAGGGAGGCAGCCGCCTGAATTTTGAATTCTCTGCTGAATGCAGCCATTCAGAAAATCAACACAGACAGTATACAGTCAGCTAAAGGGTGTACGTACGGATCTGCAAGAAACTAGTCATATGACCTCCGGTCAGCCCTCAGCTATTAAAGAGAGAGAGAGAGAGAGAGAGAGAGAGAGAGAGAGAGTGAGAGAGTGAGAGAGTGAGAGTGAGTATGGCAAACAGAGGGAGAGAGGCAGAGCAAGAGAAAACAACAATAGGGGAAAAACACCAGTGGTCCTTATAATGCAGTTTACTGGAGCTTCCATGCTTTGACAGTTTATCTTGCTGCGTGTTGTAATGGAGCTTATATAGTCAGTTGGTTTGGTCGAAGGCTTTTACATCCTCCTCTTACATCGTGGTGATGTGAAGGCCAACTGGAGCCATTTCTCATAAGCTACCACTCGAAGAAAAGGTAAAACCTCTGTCTATTCAGTATTTCAGTGACTATTTTTACATTAAATCAAGATTTATTAGAGTTTAGTAGAATATCTGAAGAAAGAACCTTTTGGTTTATATTAGTGATGACAGTGAAAGGTCTCATTGTGTGGAGTATGTGTGAGTGGTGTTTGAATCAGTTAGGAGAAACGGGAGGCGAAGATGTAATGGTCTGAGACAGAGACTATAAACAGTGACTCACCTTTAAGTCTATATTACCCAAGTACATTTTGAGGCAATCTAGTGGCTTGATAATCAGACTGAATGGCCATTTTGGAAACTGAATGCAAATGGTTGGTTGTTTTTCAAAACAGGGGTTCTTGTCCATCTCAAAATTGTGTTTATCCTGGTGGGCTGGCAGTTTTGAACCACCTGTGCCTGGCTTGTGCCCAGCCAGGGATGTTTTGGCGCTTAAAAAAGCTCGGTTGTGTTGCAATGTAACTCTTGAAATTACCCTTTGTGTTGTGTATAGATTGGAGTTGGAGCATATATAGCAAAAGCATTTGCATTCCCTGTGTGCTGATGCTGAAATTTCTTTTACACTCTTCTCTAATCTCTCTGCTTCTTAGATCATATTAGTGCTGTCTTCACTGTCTCTTTTGCTCCAGGCTGTCTTCCCCAGCAGAAGCCAGCACATCCTGAGACCGGCCAAACTGGAACATGCCATATTAGAGGGTCATCTGGTTCCAGGGAATCAGAAAGTTTAAGGAAACTTGACTGTGTGGCACCAGCTCAACAGAAACCAGACCAGAGGAGGCCACTTCAGGACTCAGGGATCTGCTTGATTTACTTTCCTCTTTGCAACAAGGCAGTGGGCAGAGGAGAGTCCCAGTCACCATGTACTCCCCTCAGAGTCTCCACCGCTGGGGCATCACACACAGTGAGAGCATGGAGCGGTTAGCCTACAACCAAGGTAGGTTGGCAAGTGTTATTTTAATCTGTGACTCTATCTAATATGCAGTGACATCTCCCGTCAACTCCTACTGCAACCTGGTCTCATAAAATGTTCTTGTAATGACTCACGAAGAGCTCACTACCAATCAGTGTATCCATGTCACTGCAGTGAAACAAAGCATCCCCCCTGTTTGCAGTTCATGTCTATCTATTATAATACATTCAACCAGAAATATTCAGTTCACATCTTTTCCACTCTGACCCTAACCCTTATAGATAGGCTATACAGCGATCTATGTGTTATCCATGAGGCCTGATGTCAGTGAAAGTTAATTAAAAGTGCCTTTGATTAAATGAAGCATCATCTTAGTTCTGCTGAAGTCCTGCAGTTGATCAGTATGAGCTGACTGTTACATATAAATGAGTCACCCATCAACCCAGACAGTTAGGCGGCCTTTACAGCCTTAGCATTATCCATGACAACATAAAAATTGTGAATTACTCATGTATTGGTAAAACCTGGATATGAAAATGACAGTTCTTGATACCATTTTCAGTAGGGTTGAAATGTGTGGTCTGATAAAGCTGTGGTAGGCAGAAGTCAGATGACCACAGGCATACGATGCACTTCATACAGTGTTTCCCATACCTTCATTTATTTAACTGCAGGCAGCTCATCCCCTCAGCCCCTCTTTGCCTTGTTCTCTCTCCCTCTTTTTATCAGACCACAAATTAGACAAGAGTTAGCTAGCTAACGTTAGCACCCCACCATCCCTTTGCTTTGCTTTTCGCTGCTGTGGACTGCTTCCCTGGGAGGAGAGCAGGCAGCAGCTCGGGAGACGAACCTTCGGGCGGCGGCTGTAGTGGCTAAAAATCGGCCAGCGCATATCCCCCAGCCATGTTTGCACTGGTTGGATTCGTGTCACTGCAGTCACTGACTGGGGGTCTGTAAGGTCAAAGACACAATGTTATTTGAGGCTCTAGCTAATGTTAACCAGGCCTACATAAACGAGAACATAAAGCTGCAGCCGTGCACTTTGGCTCCAGTTAGCAGAGGGCTAAACTATTAGCAACATTTCTTTCTCTAACTCTGAAACACTTTGCCGATACTAAGACGTGTTTTGTCTCATTTATTGGGTTGTTGACAGTGTAGGCAGTTGCTGCCAATGCTGGAAAAGCAACTTTCTCTGCAGGATTCTCCACCATTGAATCAGGCTTTCACTGAAGGGACGTGTACTGTACACATATCTGCATTTGTAGAACAGCCAATAGGAACACCCTCTACCTGAAATGACCTGATTGGTCAAAGTCTACCATCACGGCCCATATTTTCCAAAGCCTGAAAACAGAGCCAAGAGAGCCACAACAGGCTCAAAGTTTATTGTGGGATTTTAAAAATGAAACTGCTTACCCCAGCTTTAATTGACTAGTTGGTAGTTATTCTATAGTTTGGACAATGGGTTTATAATGTATGTCAAAAATGTCACAAATTCACTGGTTTCAGCTTTGACAATTGCCAAGTATTTGCTTGTTTTCTTAGTCCTCTATGATGGTAGACTGTGTGTGGTTTTAGACTGCTGGTCAGCTGTCACCGTGGCCTCTGGGAAATGGGGATGTTTTTTCCCCTGCAATTCTGCCACATTTTATAGACTAAAACAATAATCAGAATAATCAAAGGAATAATCAGCAGATCAAGTGATTATTAAAATAGTAGCAGCTAATGTAGCATGTTTGTCTCACTTGAAACCTTAAACAGGTTTTCCAAAGCTGACTCATCCTGACTCTCTTCATGTCCTCCTCTTCTCTGGCGCCTGTGTGGGCGTTAATTGTTTCCACCGTTATACTTTTAAATTTTACTCAACTCTGTCTTGCATTGGTATTTAAGAAATTTCCTCTGTGGGTTCATCATATTAATTGAAAGTAGGGCCAGAGCTAGCTCTTTGGAAATAATGAGGTCATGAGGCCAAATTCCCCCAGCAGAACCCCACCCACCTCAGAAACTATAGACAAGTCACCAAATAAACCCTGTACATTTTTTTTATGAGTATTTAAAGAAATCACATTTCATTCCTTCATTTGACTCTTTAATTATATTATTTGTACATTTTTTCCCTCAAAATCATTTTTGAAAGTCATCATTACACTGTCAGGTTGTTGTGGGGAACAGTACATTTTATTTAGAAAGCCCAATATCACAAATCACAATTTGCCTCAGAGGGCTTTACAGCATACGACATCCCTCTGTCTTTGGACCCTCACAGTGGATAAGGAAAAACTCCCCCCTACATAGCAGTTTTTGAAAGTGATGAAGTAGAGAGATAGCAGCAGCTAGGGTTGAGCCAAATACCCTGACAAAACAAGCATCCAGTACAAATAATGTCCTTTTTACAAGTACGAGTACCATCTGATTGAAATGTTTCAATATCCGTTCTTGTGATTAAAGAAAATCCTCATTTGGGTAGCTGTGTTCAATCTATTATTCTTCTGATCAAAAATAATATGACGCTCAAATCTGAGATTGTTCAGTAAATACTTATCTAATGAACAATAAGTATTGCAACTTCTGATCAACCCTTGTCAATTTTAGGTTTTAATAACAACTTCCAGTTTTAAGTTCCACCCATTTTCATTTGAAACCACACCCACTTCCACATTAAACCCCGCCCATCTCAAATGCAGATAAGGACGCAGATAAATTGGGTGGTTGAACAGATACAGACACAGATACAGATGCTCATCCCTAGTAGCAGCTGTCTGCTGGGGTTCAGCAATACTAACTGCACATCACACATCGTGATATTAGAGCCAGTAGTATTTTGTTAAATGTGTTCATGATTATAACTGCATTTGCTAAAGAATATTTAAAATGGCAGTGTGTGGCTGCCTGTCGTAGGATAGCATTTTTTTCTTCATATTTTATTAATCAAAAGCATGGGGACAGGGAGCTCAAGTAAAGTAACCTCAAACTGCCTCAAATTATAGTACTTGAGTGAATGTATTTAGTTACATTTCATTTTTGCAGGTATATTACTGATTTCAGTGGGAGCTACAGCTTCTCTAAGAGTAAATGCTGGACTCTTTTTTTAAGCTCACATATCTTAAAATAGCTGTCTGGGCTCTTGTCTCCAAGCCTCTCTGTCCTCTCCACTCAGTACCATCCTCTACCTGGAGGCTGCCGTGTAGTTCACCCTCTCACCAGCAGGGAGCGGCACGTCCACAACACAGCAGCCGCTGAAATCATTACGTAGTGCTGCCTTTTGTGTGTCTTGTGAGCCTGTTGACACCGCCCCTCCAGAGGGTGCAGCGGAACCGTAAGAAGCCAATTGTCGGTTAGGTCTGCTGGCTGTAAACAAATCTGTACGATGTACGGAAAAGGTTTGAATCCCGAGGAGCAGCTGTCCACGCTGTCGCCGCCGCTGCTATCGTCCACCATGTAGACCCGGCGCCTACAGTTTACAGTCCGGGGACGGATCGACGGTTGATTGTTGCCTCTTAGCCAGACCTGTCATTGCTTTAGCCGGTGTTATCACAGGTATTTTTATCTTAACGGTTGTCACAATGGATTGTACATCAAAGCTAACTCGCTAACTGTTAGCTAACCGCATGAATCTGACTGTTTCGGTACCGAGCCTCACCAGCTTTACTAATTTCAGAGGTACACGAACATGGCATCGCCCGCAGAGCACGACCTGGCGCTGTCTGAGGCGGACAGCAGCAAAGAGAAAGCTCAGGTGTTTGGCATTTTGAGGCTGCAGGAGGAGAAATCTGGGGATAGAGCTAACAGCACTTGCACAGTGAGAGGAGGAGGAGGAGGTGGTGGTGGAGGAGACGGGCGATGGCAGGCTCCTATCTTCGCTTTGGCCAGGAAAGCATCCGAGACCATTTCAGGGAGCATTCACGTCCTGCCCAAAGTGTCGGAGCACAGGACGTCTCTGCCTGGGGACTGGACCGTCCAAGGTAGAGTATTATCAGCATCATGGGGGCGTGAGGTTCATGAAGGGAGTGTCAGGTTGATAATAACAAGTCTGAAGACACCCAGTGACTGACTGTTTAGGGGCCCATGAGTATTTGTGACCTAATGTAACTGTGTTTATCTTTATTTATCAGCATCCTGGCACAGATCAGTTCTCCCCTGACATCTTCAGCAACAATCAATCATTCAGTCAGCTGCTAATTGGAGCACAGATAATAGTGTCAGCTGGCGTGTGTAGATGTGACAACCCTAACTGGTACATCTCTCATATCTAACATTACCCATTATATAAAACTAAAATGCAGCAAATAATCACATTTAAGAAGTTGGAACCAGCAAAGATTTGGCATTCATGCTTGACAGGGGATCATACTTTTGAATCAACCAATATATGCAAGTTAATTTTCTGTCAAGTGACATCTAATGTCGTTTTAGCAGAGCTCTGGGCTCTGTTTGTTCTCTGCTAGTGCGTCCGTCAACCAATCTGTCAGCAGGACTCCCCACACACTCACAACTATATTTAGCTTCTGACAGATTTCTGGTGTCCATCACAGACTTGCATTGGAGTTATGTAAAACCAGAATCATTTGAAACAACTGAGCAGTTGTTTCAGGCATTCAGTGCAACAGGGCCTCCTGATTGTTTCAGTGTTTTTTGATTTTTCTTTAAACAAGAAGATTGGGAAATGAATTAGGAGAATAACCTTTAAGGAGAATTTAAAGGGGAACAGCACCCATTTTCAAAATTCAGACTGTTTATTCCTATGATCTAAGACGTTCCAAAAATATTCGTAAACATGGTTAATTCACTCCTAAATGTAAAAACTAGAGTGCTAAAACTCAAATTTGTGATGTCAAATGGTATTAAGTCTGGAACTGCTCCATTACATGGACCTGAATAACCCTTTTATGAGGCTTATCCCAGTTATGATCATATTTGGGATATGGTGTTTACATGAGCACAGAGAAATTAGGTTATTCATATTCCCCATATTCATCCTGGTTTCTTAAGGACTACTCCAGCTAGCATATTCAGGTTTCAAACACACAAACAGGATGCTCCAAAAACCCGACCATAAACGGGTTATTTATGTCCATGTAAACGCACTTACTGAGTTGGAAAAGCTGTTATAGATGACAGTGAGAGCACCCAGGGGAGTGTTATGAGTATATGGGTACACTTCCTGTTTCAGAATTGAGAACACTGCAGCAGAATGAAGTTCATTTTGGTATAAAAAGGAAAACAAACTTTCTGTGGATCCACGAAAACAGCCTCCCATTCATGTGTATGGAGAAGCTCCAGACTTCATACCCTATGACATCACAAGTTTGACACTTAATGCTCTGGTTGCTGGCTTTGAGAGAGAGTAGCTCATGCTCACAAATATTGATTGAACTTTCCTAGGGCATGGAAATAACACATTGCAATTCTAAATTTCAGTGCTGTTCCCCTTTAAAATCCCAATAATTGCATTCAAACTCAATTCGCCATTGAAACATCCCGACACTTAAAGTCCAATATGTAGGATTTAGTGGCATCTAAGGGTGAGGTTGCAGATCTGAAACTACTCCCGTGTGCTAAGCACGTAGGAGAACTACAATGGCTGAAGTAAGAACACAAAACACAAACATCTAGAGCGGTCACATGATGACACAGGCAGTCAAAGGGTTACTGTTTTCCCCATATCCCCAGGCCTCACAGCCCAAGGGCACCCAAAAGTCATGCAGCTCCCAAGAAATCATCTGTTGATCTGTCAGCGTCTCTGCCTCTGGGCCAACCTGCTGGGGCAATTAAAGCTCTTTCACTTTGCTAGGCAACATCTTTGCACTTTTTCCACCTGACATTTCTCAGTCCTGCTCTGGTGTTGGCTACACCTTAACTCAGAGCTCCATGTGTAGAGCATTTTAAAGCATAACTCTTTGGGAGGTTACTCTTGCAGGCTATGGAGTTTTACTTGTATGGAAATGCTAAATACCAGTTTGAAACAAGACAAATATCTAGCAAAGTTATAAAAATGTAGGTGCAGAGTGTCTAAATAAATATTTTGAAGCTAATTCATCATGTTAGGGTAGACCCTTGTTTTACTTGTTTGATTCTGGTGCTTGTTACACACTGTCTGATGATCTGTGTGACTGCAGTGACCGGACACAGAAATGTGAATGGACATGCAGTATTAAGGGTGGATTCTGCCTTCAGACTACTGACATAACATTTGCTGTACCTCCCTACACAGTCAGCATGTTTCTGATGATGACCAGTTGTTGTAAGCCAATAACGCATACTTACAAGACTGAGTATGTTTGGTAAATGACTGGATTGAATATGATTATTCATCAAGAGAGGACTATCCCTTTGATTTGTATCTGTATATTATGTGTAAATAAAGGAATAATGTGTCAAGTTTTATTAAATATAGTGTGTTTTCCATGCAGTTGTATTGTCACTTTGCAAATAGAGACATTCCTACATCCTTTTTTCCTTCCCAATACTGACTTAGCAGCTGTATACAACCAGCCCTGTATGGACGTGAAATGACTTCAATCCATAATTTATGGCATGGTTCAGGTTAAACTCTAAACTAGTGGGACATTTCAATGTAAAATATTGCCAAATTGCAGACATTTTGCGAAGGCTAACGCAACACTTTTTTACCAGAAATCAGTTGTTTCTCGCCACTCTCAAACAGTGGTTGCACAGGATAGGATTGGTGCATAGACTCGTGTACTTGCTGATACCTGATCCAACATTTCAGGCAGCTTTGGAGGCATTTCCGATATTGGTATCGGAAAAACTCTGTTTAAAACATTTGAACTGCAGTTGTTTTACACTGTACACAACCTGTGCTGTTTTAAACTGTCACAATACCCAAATTAAACTCAACATTGTATTCTTAAAATTATCACAAATCCCTAATTTGGAAATTGGATATTGATTTAACAACCTTATTTGTGAAATAAAAAAAGTTCATACCATGTATAGGTAATGGTCTTTTGTAAACATTATTGTGTTACCATCCTTTAGCTTCGGGCCGGGTTATTTTACGCACATTCTAAGTTGCGTGTTTTTGTCCTGCAGCCCTTCGAGACCCCATGGCCATGGAGCGAGCCAATCTGCTGAACATGGCCAAGCTGAGTATTAAAGGGCTGATCGAGTCGGCGCTGAGCTTTGGACGAACTCTGGACTCAGACTACCCTCCTCTCCAGCAGTTCTTTGTCGTCATGGAGCACTGCCTCAAACATGGCCTCAGAGGTAAGAGGAACCTCTCAGCTTATTAAAATTTGATGTCTAAGCTGCACAATTGTGTTTGCCTCCCTCACTAAATGTATTATCCCTAGATTTTTATTCACCACTGTGTGTCTCTCTTCGCTCTGCAGTGAAGAAGTCCTTCCTGGGGTTTAACAAGTCTCTGTGGGGTCCTCTGGAACTGGTGGAGAAGCTGTGTCCTGAAGCAGCAGAGATCTCCGCCTCTGTACGAGACCTGCCTGGACTTAAGTAAGGAGTACATTTAACCATGCACACCTGTGCTCACACACACAACTTAACCTGACATCAAGCTGAAGGAACATGAGCCACAGCCTAACCACACACACTCCCATGCACCAGTAACATGGGAAAGTGATGTGAGCCAGAGCAGGGAAATACCTGCGCGTGATTTACTTTCACTTCACCTTTCCTCTTCCTGCTGCCTCACTTCTCCCTGTTTCTCTGCTTCTTTATTGTGTCTGTGTAACTGCTGGAGCCAGTGCAGACACATTTTCCAAAGACAGTCAGAGTCAGTGTTAAAACTGAGTTTGAAATTCGTCACTGTATTGTTAGTCTTGGGTTATAGACACCATTTTGAAATCAAAATCCGTAATGGTGCAGTAGTATAATTGCTGCCAGTATCGAGGTGATTGTGTAATCAGCATTTTGTTTATTTTTCACTCTAACTTCCTGCTGTGACTATGACTTACAAGTATGAGTGTTCATAGTGCCCAGTGTGGGTGGTAATAGATCAACCTCAAAATCCCTACTGCTGGTGCATCCTACATTAATATTCAGGGAGTGTCCTCTAGTGGCTTTACTTTCATTCGTGCACATGACTTCCATGTCATGCTTTACTCTGTTCATTTATCAGTTACCATATAACAGAGCTTCCAGGCAGGAAATCAAGTGAGTAATATTCAGGTCTCGTCTGATGCAGCAAAATGCGGAACAGTTGTGTTGTTTTAGATGGAGAACAGAGTGTGTTTCCTTTAGTGGTGCTGAGTCAGACCAACGGACATGAAGCAGAGCAGCATTTTTTCCCCATACCCAGTAGGCACTGCAATTGTTTTCTCTTGTTATACATTAAAAGACAGTTTTAGTTGATGAGATGACACAAAGGCAAAATGAAACACGGTCGTCCAGTCAGATTGAAGTCTTGAAAAGAAGGAAGGGTTAATTAGATGAGCCCATGTTAGATGTTGATAGCAATACACACAAAGAAGAACCTAATTAGATCTGAACAGTAGCACAAAACAAATCCAGAGACAAAATCTAACAGTGTTCCCGCCCCACCGGCTTTTGATCTTATAAACTTCCTCCAAATATAATGTAATTACCTGTGTGTGTTTTCTTTCTCCAGGACTCCATTAGGCAGGGCCAGAGCTTGGTTGCGTCTGGCTCTCATGCAGAAACGGCTGGCTGACTACCTACGACTCCTCATCACCAGAAAAGACCTGCTCAGGTACACACACATATTTACATACAGTGACACACTCAGAGATTTAAACTGTAGCAGCAGGTAAATTTGACTTTTTCTGAAAAATATACCTTTAAAAAATATATCTTTTTATAAACTAATATAACATGGCTACAGAAACTACATTATAAAAATTCTTGATTGAAAATTTTGCCCTTAAAAGTTAAAGGCCCACACGCATCGAAAGAGTCTTATGCAAAACATTTAGAAGTACACCTGTTGTTTTAAAAGGCCGAACACACATCCAAGGATTTTAAGGCATGTCATACTGCTTTGATGCCTTTACTATGACCTTGTTTCACCATTGGAACATCAAATAAGGACAAAAACAACTACCACTGCCAACAGCCATTGGCTGCTACCTTGGATCTTAAACGCTGAGTTGTCACTTGACAGATACTAAAAAGAAGAACAATAAAAGCTCACACCCTTGGTAGTGACGTTAGCATAACAGACCCGCAACAGATCATCTATCATGACACATTTACTGGTCATAAAATTTAAATTGCCATATAAACATACCGGTAACAACATTAAGTAATTTGCATAGTACAGAATTATGATTAGCCATGCTTTAAGTGACTTTCGCCCATCTGAAAAAAAAAGAAAAGATAAAATGACATGGCTGGTCCCCAGTGGCTTTACTGATGTTGAACTGCCAAATGACTGATGAAAGCAGCAGCACATAACCAACAGTTGCCCTCCTGCCTTATTTAATGTTATAGGCTACTCAGAAATGTAAAGAAAATTGTTTGGAGGTATCTGTAAAGCATACAAAATGGTACCTGCCGACCTATAAATAGCAACCTTTTTCTAAAAATATTGCTGTTTTTTTTAATGTTGGTATTTAAAGTCTGATGCTTGCAGTGCACCGTAGAAGCATTGATTGATGCATGTCAAATGAGGCCAGACACAGACACGCTTTAAGTGCCTTTGGGCCTTATGGCTGGAGATATTCTACATTTTTCTTATCATCAACAAATCCCATTAATTTAGACATGTTTACACGTTTCAGATATCAACAATAATGTTTGGCAAAAAAAATCTTAATTTCATTTCTAATACTGATAATAGGATAGTATTTAAATCAGTAAATTGATAAATTCATTTTGGCATTAAATGATAATTCAGTGCACAAATTCAGCAGGTATTATTATTCTGAATTTCAAAAATTAAAGCGCTTGCTAACACCAAAGAGATTTCTCATCCACAATAAAAACACCACTAAGCTAAACATTAAAATAAAGCTACTCCTTTTTTTGTTTTTACCAGAGCTCCCGTCAGTGTTTGAGAATGTGTTGTTTCTTCCTCCGCAGTGATTTCTATGAGAATTCAGCACTGATGTTGGAGGAGGAGGGAGCAGTAATAGTGGGCCTGCTGGTGGGCCTGAACGTCATTGATGCTAACCTGTGTGTCAAAGGCGAGGACCTGGATTCTCAGGTAACCACATCCCTGAGACAATATTTAGACCATTTGACTAAAACAAAACCACATTTACACCAGACATTAAGTCTCCTCTTAATGTCGGTGTAAAACATCTGATGACGTGGCTGCATTACAGCTGGTATGCATTATACACTCCTGTCTGGTTTTTACTATGATTAGATCTTGCACTGTTACTCCACTTCCTGTGCATTCTAGTTCATTGACATGAAACCGCAGATCTTCAGTGACTCTAGCTTTGTGAAGCAGAAATGCAGACAGGAATTGTCTGTTTCGTCACATTGTTATCTTGGCACCAGGCAGATGGACAGCAGACGCTGTGGTGTCATGTTTCTACTCCATAGGTGGAGACTTTGTCCTGAGTGCAAACACATTTTCTCACTAAAGCAAACACCCTGATTGTGTTCACACCTGACTGAATGTGGCCCAGATATTTGTAACATGATGTAAGCTGGAACTGTGTTTGTTTATATTCAGTCATTGTCTGATCACAGGGTAAAACAAATTACCACAAAGAGATTATACATTTAATAGCAGGTGTCAATTAGGTCTGATTCCAGTCCTGAAGCCGAGATGATAAAATCCATTCATGATAAAAACTAATGATTATGATATTTAGTAATTTATAATATTGAAAAAAGCAGAAAATTATCACATTTGAGAGGCTGAAACGAAAGAACATTTTCCCCCCACTATTTTTTAATTGAAAAATAGTTGAAACAGTTGATTATCAAAATAGTTGCCAATTATTTTTCAATTTATTAAAGAGACTAAACAACTGATTCCCAGCTCTGCTACATTTTAATTATGTATCAACACATCAAGGTTTCTTTAGACTGTAACTCTGTGTTTTGACTGTGGTAGTTTCAGATTAATTAGCGCTATTAGTAAATGTATAATATATAATGGATATTAACTGTTTACTTTCACTCTATCAGCAAACATTTTGTTTGTTTTGTGTGAGTTTTAATTAACGGTGTACTTGTGCACATGCCTGATTCTTATTAATGTTCTGGTGGCTGTCAGTGTGTAGGATTTAGTGGCATCTAGTGGTGACATTGCAGATTGCAACCAACTGAATACCCCTCTGCTGACCCCTCCCTAACGTGAACTTTCAGTGACCTTCAGGTGATGTAAAAACCCCAAAGGCCTTATCTAGAGCCAGTGTTTGGTTTGTCTGCTCTGGGCCACTGTAGAAACATGGTGGAACAACATGGCGGACTCTGCTGAAGAAGACTTGCTCCTTGTGTAGATATGAAGGGCCTATTTTAAGCTAACGAAAACATAACTCTGAATATTATATTTCATATTTGTTATATCTATTTCCGCCAATAGATCCCTATAAATCCTACACACAGGTCCTTCCTTTTGAGTGATGTTAACTAAGATTATTTATTGTTTTATTTGAGGTTGGGGTGATTGACTTCTCCATGTACTTGAAGAACGACATTGATGACTACAGGAGTGAAGAGCGGTACAATCTTTTATCGTCTCTCCCCTTTCTTTAAAACACCAAGTCTCCAAGGCCCCCCTAAATGTGATGCTCTGTTTTATATCTGTTTCCATGACAACAGGAATAGCCAGATAGCATCCATCTTGGATCAGAAGAACTACGTCGAGGAACTTAACCGACAACTCAAGTAAGACACTTGTTTTTCAGTGTGTTTTGTACCTGAGCAGTGGCTGATTTCTTCCTCACAGTTCGTTTTTTCATCTGTTGATTGATGTTTGAGCAGTGGGCTGATTGCATGTTAAAATAGAATCAGTGTTCAGTCAGTTCTTGTTTGAACCCGACTGCTTGTTTCAGAAGTGCAACTCTGTGCCATCTGTCCTACAGACAGACTCGTTAAAGCACAGACTGTCCATCACACTTCCTCTTTCAGTCTTCCTTTTTCTGTTTTTACAAACCTCGTGTCTCATTTAAATGAAAGTGAGTTGAGCTGCTGCCTTGAATGCAGTCATGGTTTTGTGAATCTTTATTTAAATCCTGCAGCTGTGACAGAGCTAAAAACCAGCATGTTCATGAGTTAGGAGGATTACTGTACACAAACCTCATGTGTGATATGACACTGAATAACATTGTCAGTTACTGTCTTCAGTCTCTGAACATATGCTAAGCTAACCATGCACGACATGCTGCAGCTATGAGACACGTCACTCCTCCAAACCTGTGAATGCCAATAAACCTCATAAACTTGATAACAACTTTTACAAATTGTTATCCACTGAGCTGTGTCAATTCAAAGGAGGGAAAACATCTGCTTAAGTTACATGTTAACACTTCAGCTGTGAATATAACACAACTACTACAATTCCATATTCTGAAAAAAATGTGCACTATAACTTCAGTGAGATTAGAAATGAAATTAAGCTGATTTTAATTTCTGTGTTTGTGTGTCCAGCTCCACAGTTCATGGTCTTCAGGGCAGAGTGGACTCACTAGAGAAGTCCAACTCTAAACTCATAGAGGAGGTGAGACCCACTCAGCATTCCTGTGTTAGATTTAGACTAATGGTGAAAGTTGGTACCTTAACCTCAGAGTTCAAGGCTCAGTCCTACTATACCTCTTGCCGCTACCACTGTGCCCTTACACCTTTGTTTTGTGTGTTCATGTGTAAAGGAAGGCTGTCACAAATAAAGGGGTAGGGCAAAGTGTAGGGCTCCAAACTGAGATTTTTCAGAGGCACAGGACTCCAAACCTAGTGTTATGAGAATCATTAGTAAGATGGCTGAACAAGCAACCCATAAATGTTTTTTCTTTGTTATTAAAGATTTAATAAATAAGATAACCATTGTATTATCTTTGTTTTATATTGTTCAGTGTAATATGATTCCTTTCCTTATAACAACTGATACAAGTTAAGCAATCATAAAACCTGATGTGATGATTTAATCAAATATTTTTTGTTTAAATTACAGTGTCAGTGTCAAACTGTTCACTATCAGCTGAATTATTTTATCTTGTGTGTGCAGTTAGCCATAGCCAAGAACAACATCATCAAACTCCAGGAAGAGAACCAGCAGCTGAGGAGTGAAAACAGTCTCATTCTGCTGAAGGCACAACAACATTTAGAGGTACAGCGTTACACACGCACATAAAATAAACATAAAATTACAGCCCTCAATATTCCAACAGTTACTGTCAGCTCTTACTACAAACTGGTAAAACGGACTCATGATTCGGTTGACATGTTCTTCCTGGTGATGATATTCATCTAGGTAACCCAAGGTGATGCGACAGTGGAGAGAGATACGTACAAACAATCGCGTCAGGGGTTGGATGAGATGTACAACGAGGCTCAAAGGCAACTAAAGGAGGAGTGTCAGCTCAGACAGGTCAGACTGGGACTGCATGTGTGTGTGTGTATAAAATGTTGTAGTAACAGAAGTAATAACAGAATATATTCATGTATATGGTTTATTTATAGGATGTAGAGAATGAGCTGGTCGTCCAGGTGTCGATGAAACAGGAAATGGAGCTGGCCATGAAACTTCTGGAGAAAGATATTCATGAAAAGCAGGTCAGCATACAGTTTGTATTTCCATCTGGTTAGCTCTTCACTCTGCTCTCCTTGTGGAGTATTGATTTATTTACAAAAGATTTCAAGAGCTGAACGTAGACGAAATATACACAACAGGAAAGACAAAAGACATTTAATTGTTGGTTTTATCCAGAGTGACTAACGATGAATGGAAATCACAGAACATTATAAGACACATGGGTTAATAAATAACTTGCATATAATGGTAAAGGGCCTGTCACGATAATGATGTCATCGACTTATCGTACAATGTATGGACATGACCTCGATCATTTTGCTGACCTTGATTATGCCCGTTGTTTTTACATGTGCGCTTGTTTACATGAGAATGTCACCAACAGTTTAACCAACATGATGCCAGAATAAATGGCCTATAAAACAACACTTTGTAGATGACACGGCGAAGCTTAGCCTGCGTAGCCCACAGCTGCACTTTTGAAGCGGAAGACGCACAGCACCTGACAGTTGCCAGTCCCTTGCAGTCCGTCGTTTGCAGTTTTACCCTCCAACAACGTCCTCCACTCCATAAATCTACCAGCAAACCGCCCAAGCCCTCTATCCAAGCAGTCTCAAAATAACAGTAATATCATTTATCACAGTTGTTTCTGTGACAATATATCATCCAATAAAAGAAGTTACGTGATAGGCCTAAAATGATAATTGTCAATGGTGATGCCAATTTAGTGCAAACACTGAAAACTGATAAAGGATATATTTAGACTGAGAATGATGTGGTTGTTTTTGAGACATGGTGCCTTCACAACCAGAGAGCGCATGATAACAAGCCCTTTGGGGGCAGAAACTAAAAATATAGCACCAGCCCGTACTTGCTCACATGGAGCAGTAATACCATGCCAGCTTCTCTGCCCGTCTCTCTCTGGCAGACCTGCCAGCATCAGGCCTTTTACTACCAACATGTGAACTCCAGCTGACATTTGTAGCCGAGCTGTGACATACGGGAGTTGTCATGGCTGCAGCATCATCACAGCTTTGTAAGGAGGTTGATGGTGTCATTAAAAACATCATCAGGTGAATCAACTATCAGACTGGAGAGCATCATTATTGCACAGGAGCATGGGGTATGTGACATATGAATATTTGTATCATGCATTGTGACCTCCAGTGTGTTCTTCATATATTTTAGCTCACTAACTGGTAGCTCTTGGCTTGAAATATTGGTATATACACATGAATGTGACCACGCTCCAAAACTGGCCAGTATTTATCACAGGCCTAGTTCTACAGGGGTGCAAAAGCATGCATAGCACCCTCCGTTTAATATTTTGCACCCTCAGTTGAAATTTGAATAATAAATGCCAATGAAAGGTGGTAGGTCTTGGCGCACAGATTGTGTGGGCGTCTCCATGCGCACTTTCTATTTTGGTTCTTTTATGTCCAGCATTAACCACATTAAACGTTATTTTCCATGCCAATTTTGGTTGGAGTGTGTCTAATTGAAATAAATTATTTATATTTTATATTCTACACTGTTTTTCATTGCTGTTGCTGTCCACTTTCAGATGCACCCCAAGTAATTTTATTCTGGAACCAGGCCTGATTTAACAGCGTGTATGTACATATATATAGTCCTGGGTTTATTTTGCTCAGACCCCCAGTGAATGAATAATTGTAAAGATGAATAGATACACAATGAATAGTAATAATAAAGCCCTGAAATGACTCACTGACTGAATGAATGGAGGACAGAAAAAATTGAAAGACGAGCATGCTAAATAATAGAGACTTGCTGCAGGAAACTAGAAGCAGTCACATGAAAACGTGACCTAAACAGTGAATTCTTTGTCTTTCATCAACAGGACACACTGATCGGACTGAGACATCAACTGGATGAAGTCAAAGCCATCAACGTAGAAATGTACCAGAAGATGCAGGTACAAACACGCACATCCTCACCTGGCTGGACTTGTTGTCATGTACTGTAATTATTACTGTTACTTATGACTTTTTCATTTGTTAGTCTTCTGATGAGGAGATGAAGAAGAAGAACGACGTGATCACTCGTCTGGAGGAGAAGACCAATCAGATCACTGCCACCATGAAGCAGCTGGAACAAAGGTGAGATTCGCTGCCTGTAAAGGAACAGCATGCCTTAATCAGAACAGGAAAATCACGTTCTCCCATGTGTCTCCTCAGTCTCTCCTCAGTCTCTCCTTCAATACAAAGCAGGTTCTCTGCTCTCCTACTTTGGTTTACCAAAAGATACATACTTTAATTTAGCATAGTAAGTTTGACCCACAGGAGAACAGGTTTGATTGTACCATTGAACCAAAATTGTATAAGAAATCCCAAAAAACGGACTAGTTCTCAGGCCAAAATCATCAAAAGTCATCTTGTCTTTATTTTATTTTATATTTTAAAAATAATTACTTAAAAGCACATAGTTATTTAAGGGGCTCTATGCAAAATCCAGAGCATTTGAGTTGTCTGGACATGGTTCTCAACATGTAGATGAATGAGCTGATGGCTAGCAGCTAATGGTGTTAATCACATAAACAGCACTAAACAATGCTACACTACGCTTCTGTGACAACGTCACCCCGATATCAGTGACAACTGCTGTATGAGTGCAGTGCAAAACAATGGAGATGAGCTAGCCAATTGGACAAACACATGCATGAAAACGCACGTCCGCACTGGCTAATCACAACAAACCACAGAGAGGCTCAGATTACAGCACACACAGAGGTAGCTTGACTTAATTCTCTGCTCAGGAGTCCATTATTCCTCCATATCTGTACGTAGCCTACAGTGGTTTGCTGCTGTATCATTGCTCTGAATGTTGCATACAGAACCTTTCAGAGTTCTGCATAGTGCCGCTTGAAACTATCAAGAAGAGAACTGGGAGAAAACATGGAGAAAATGTATTTGACTCTTTCTCCTCATCACTGTTTAAAGGTTTCTCATAGGAAATTGGTTAAAGGTGTTAATCCTTGTCTCCTCCAAACCTCCTTATTGCTCTCCTGTGCCCTCAGCTTACAAAAATGTTCCATAGCACAACACCTTACTACAGAAGGGTTTTTAGATCACGCTGCAACGTGTGATGGGATTGATAAGTCTCTGTCATTGGCTGAGCTGAGTCTCTGATATGATTGGTTACTCCATGGCACTCTGAACAGTCATCAAATGTGTTTTGTGAAATGCCTCCCTCCTCACTTTTCCCTGAAGATTTATAAGGTTCTATTTAATAAAGATGTATTCGTTTCTGTTGATGTAAGGAGACGTAGTCTCAGTTCACTTGAGGCAGCTTGCACTTTTCTTATGAAACTGCAAAAAGACACACTAGAAAGTGTTTGCATTTTAGATCTCTATGCTGTCCTAAGTTGAAACTAAATCGCACATTGTTATTGTCCACTAAAAACCTTCAAAATTTCCAAAATGTCATTATTTTAGCTGTGATTTATTTACTTTTGCATGATCCAAAAGTCTTTTTATACAGAATTTACTGAAATTTTAGATCCAAAGCTTTTACTTGACAGAGACTTGGCAGGGTTTGCGATTGCCCTAGAAATTCAATTTTATATAATCTACTGAAATTGCCAAAAATATGCTTGAAGTCACTGTCCCCAATGCAGGTTTCAGGCCAAGTGAAAAAAAGGCCACCTCCACTTAGATCATAACATCGTAAAACTGAATACATTTCTATGAAAAATAACGTTAACCTTCAGAGGAAAAGAGCAGAAGCACCATATCATATGCAGTGTGTATTGAACATTATTGTTCAGGCCATCACCCTTTAACTAAACTGAATATGAGACAAGAAGCGTCAGGATTTCCTATAACTATTTCCTCGGGGAAACCTTGCAGTCCTTAATTTATCTTGTCTATAAATGACCCTGTTGATCTTTCCATGCATGCTGTGTTGCACCACAGTCAGTGTGTAATGCTCCTTATTTCCATATCAGTTGTTATGAGACTTGCTGGTTCATTGGTGCCTTATGATCCCTCCTCACCTCATCGTCTACTAGTCAACACGGTCCACCCCTCCCCTCTCCTCTCCCATTGGTTTGAGTCTGTTCCATCCTATTTGTGATTGGTTTTGAATGTTTTTGCTGCTCTCTAAGTGTATGTACAGTAGGCTGGTAGGACACAGACCCTGGTACACTTGTTATTTTCAGTGGGAGTTTTGTGTTAAAGCTGAAAACCCAAATGAAGAAGGTAAAATGTTCAGACAGAGTTACTGTTTAAAATTATTTACCAGCTGTTACAGATAAATCTCCCCCTCAGAACTTAATGTGTTGTCTACTTTAGAGAGATCAGGCTTTAATCTATCATGTTGATAGCGTACTTCTGTGCTCACTTCACCTGAAAACTCCACTTTTTGTCTGATGTAGTTATTTATATTCATCTATCTGTCCACATTACCTTTCTGTGCTTCTCCTCCCCACCTATACTCATTACTCATACGCTTACTGTGGAGGAAAATATATCCAGACTGAACAAATCTGATGACAGTGTGAACCTGGCAGCCTGAAATCAGATTTCTGTGTTTTAATGACTTTTATTTACCCTTACTGCTGTGCTTGTGATGTTGAGAGTCACTTAAAGTGTTCAGTGTAACTGGGGCCACTTAGAATACTGATGTATTGACATCCTTTCTTCCTTCCTTCCTTTCTTTCCTCCTTCTTTCCTCCCTTCTGTTTGTCTCTTTTTATGCCATCCATCCACTCATCCATCCATTCGTTTGCTCCCTTGGAACCACGTTTGGTTTATTTCCTGATTTTATCCCTGCTCCCCTGTGCAGTGATAAGGATCTGCTAAGTCAGACCAGAACGCTTGCTATGTCATTTGTTAAGTGTGCCAGCACAGACACAGAGCACCAGTACAAGCTAGTCAAGGACATCTCCTTCTGAGGACAAACATGCACATACCCACGCAAAACGCAGACACACGATTGCTTACGACCGAATGAATAAACTGACTTAACTTAAAGGAACATTCCTGTTTTTTGCACTTAATATTCAGATGGTTTAATGGCTGGGGAGCAGCCGCAGAATCAGGTGAAACTTGAATGCATGGTTTAGTCCCTTTTTAATTACTGAAACATGATCATCATCAGCAGAGTGAGACCACTGCAACATGTTTTTATGAACTTAAGTTAAATCGTCCTCAGACAACCTTGCTGGTTTATGATAAGGGGAGATAAGTTTCCTCTGAATGTCCCGGTTTAGCTGGTCAGAGAACTGTCTGAATATTACATCAGTTATACTTTAATAGAAACATTTTTAATTAATCATATACTACTTTATCTATCCACTCACATGCTCAACCTCACACACATACACATGCTACACATTCTTCCTGTCTCCAGTAGTCAGTTTATATGCAGTAACACTGACAGTAAGATAGTTGACTCTGAGGTGTAATCACAGGGTCGTTGTTGTTGTTGTTTACATTGAGTTAGAATGAGTATAGTGGGCTTTCCCGTTGTATCACCACTTCTTAATCTGGCAACATTCAGAGCCACTGGTTAACAGAGTTGTGTCACTGTAGTGTTTAGGGACTGTACAACAGTTATTGGGGTAGGGGAGCTGTTGCTAAACTTACTGTTGCACTTTGTAAAAGCAAGACCCCTCCCAGCGTTGATAATATTTTCTTTGGATTCCTCGTCAAAATGACGTCAGAAAGACGTTAAATTTTGTTTGGAAATATTTTAAAGGTCTAACGATGTAAGACATTTTTCAGACACTGGGCTTTGTTCTCCAACCCTTACGACTAAATGTCCGTATTCTACGTCAAAATGATGTTGGTATGAAACGTTCAGAAGACATTTGATTTTGGTTGCTTAACAACACAACTTTAAACCAACAAAATATCAACATCATCTCTCGTCAGTATTCTACATCAATTGACACTGGTATTAGACGTTGTCCTGACATTGAATCATGGTCACTTGACGTCACAACCTAAATTCAACCAAATATCAACATCTAAGGCTTACAGACAACATCTAGTACATCCAATTCATTTTGCTAATAGTATCTAAAATTGCACAATGAATGTGCAACATTTCTCAATGGAGTAATAATTTTCATGTAGCTAAAAGCACAATAGATAGTGTAATTGCCAGTTGCCACTATTGAAGCAAACCTATCAAACTCATATGTCCTGGTTACAAAAATGTTCCCGCCATTACTGTTTGTTTTTTTTTAACCAAAAGTTGTCACTGTCACTTTATGACACTTAAACATTTTTGACATATTTTAATTCACTGTCCTGTGCTTTCAGTTTAAATGCTGAATAAAGTGAAATGTCATATTCACTGGAGAGATGGAGAGTTTAGTCACTTACAATACTCCTGCCACTCTCCCAAAAAGTTTAGACTGAAATCCCCTCAGCAGAAATAAAAAAATGTGCAACCCTCCCCACTTTCTGGACTCCCCCCTAATAATGACTGTACTGTCCCTAAGTGGCATCCATAGTGGCTCTGCAGAGGTTGTTGAGTAACTTGTTGTTTCATGCTTGGCTGTTTTTTAACCTTAATGGAGCTGACAGTGTTTGGGTCCAAAGCACGAGCAGGAACATAAATCTCATAAGCCTACACAAACTGTTTGTATAGCTGCCTATATTTCATCACAGTCAGTCAGTGGTGTTTGCTACAGATGTTTAGCATGGATGGGAAGAATTTATTGATATTAATGCCATTATCGATTCTACGTATCACTCTGATTCTTTATCGATTCCCTTATTGACTCCTGATCAATTTTCTGTGTGGGGAAAAAGTAGGCCTACACAGGTTTTCAGCATCAGTGCAAGTATTTTATTATCTCTGAGTGTAAACACAGTGTAGATTAAATTAATATTTGTACAGCATTTGTTTTCATATAGGTTTTTTTAGTCAGAGAAAAATCTACTGATCCTACCTGTGTGGCGCTAATGTTAGTACGTGTGTCAAATACATGGCATTCATGGAATTTAAGCCCATGTTGCATAGAAAGTTGTTTTAGTGTATTGCTGGTGTTTCCACCATGACCTGAAGTATCATTTTATAGATATTACAAACAGCACTGAAGCCATGCATTGGACTGTTTCTCTGCCATGACTCCTTCTTGTTGCAAGTTTCCAGCAGCGTGGAAGCTTTAGTTTGACGTCATTGTGGTACAATACACAACTGTCAGAAAAACATGGCAGCGTCGATAAAAGGAATTGATAAGCACAGAGACGTACGATTCAGATGGATCAGACACTTTGGAACTGGTTCTCAACTGGAACCGGTGCTCAGTTCCCATCCCTGATGTTCAATCAGACAGGAGTTTGCCTGTGCAGCCTCCTGCTTTTAATTTGTTGCCAGTTTGCTCTGCATGTGTTGCACCTCCTGACCTGCTTCTGACTGGCTGTGATGACTCTCGCTGTGTCTGAAACCAGTCCCCTCTTCACTCACTCAGTATTCTCTTACTTAAAATAGTTTCTAGTGAGCAGAAAATAAAGATACCTGGCACTTACCATTGTCATTTTGCATCATCTCTGACAGGTAATGTTATAAAATGTTACAAGCAGAAAGAAGGTCACATGATATGGATGCTACTTTTTTCGCTTTTAGAATTTTTGAGGATAGCGGATTTCACACTCAGACGAGTGGGTAAATCTAGTGCAGTCTACAGTGAAAAGCGAGTGATTTCAGACACAGCCCATCTCCTCCTTGTGTAGATTTGCCTGAACTGAAAACTTAAAGATCGAGTCAGGTTTTGCAAATGTATACAGCTCAGTGGGACCAGCAGCTTTAGCTCAAATCATGTGCTTTGTTTCTGCAAAACAGACAGAACTGAGCCAAGTGTTAAAAAAAAAAAAAAAAAAAAAAAAAAAAAGTAAACCTCTGGAGTTTCTCTCAAGGGAACTTGGTGTGTCGTTGTGTCTTGTCTTGGCATATTTATTGACTTTTGTGATAGATCAGGAAGTAATCATTCTACCTATTCTAACTCCATGTTCATAGTACTGTAACTCCTCTCAGTTTATAGACGAATACACACTCAGTACAGCTGTTGGAAACTCACAACTACTGTCTTTTACCACCGTTACCAATAAAGTTAGATGTTTTGAAAGTGTTGGGTGTGGTTTGAGTTTTTGACCACGTTCAGAGGGCCGTTAACGTGTGCATTTACTGTGTGATTTTAAGGAGTTATAAAGCTCCACATCAACAGTTGCTGTAAATCAGGGTGTTGTGGGATTGTTCTCCTCATCGTCCAAGTATCTAAGATGTAACCTTTGTTAAAAGACATATCCTGGGAACAAGCTATAAATGTTTCCTCCCTGTGTAATGTTGAGATAAAACAATAAAACTGGCATATTTTTCTAAATGCTGTGGATATATACTGTACGACGTTGCAAAAGACAACACTGTTCGCTCTGTCTGAGCTCTCTCTGTTAGCTGTCCTCTTATTTCTTGTCAGTTCTTTTGCTTGAAGGCGGTTTTCCCTCATTGTTGCATCATGCGTCTTTATTTGGACTCATCACTCCTTTGTGTTCCTAACTGTTTTGAACCCCTGCACTCTTTTAAGTTTTACTCTCTGGTGTTATAAGGCAACCTTCATTTACCCTGAGCCACCCCTCTTTCATCTTTCCACCCAGAAACCCCAGTCCCTTCCCAGTCATCCTCTTTTCCCTGTATTATTTTATCCCTCTCCCTCCTAACCCCGCGCCCCATCCCAGTTTTTTCTCTCCATGGTCCTGAGTTTGTCCCTGGTTATAATGGTGCAGATTACAGGAGGCAGAGAGGCACCGCACCTCGGCCGAGGAGGGAACCAGACGCTTCAAGTTGGACTTTGCCAACAAGGCCGACAGCCTGCAGCGGCAGATCGAACACAGAGAAAGGCAACTGTAAGCAAAACCCCTCCAAAGACAGATTAATTGGCACACACATACATGAATCTAGAGAAGCTGTAGTGCTCAGAGACACAACAGAGGCTAATACACCATAAGCTGTGTAGCATGGGGAGCCAGCAGTTGGTGATAAAGCTTTTCTCCCTTTAACTGAAGCTGTCACAGCCCTGATTCATACCTAGGACCAGTAAAATACAATTAAATCAAATATATACACAGCAGTGTGGCCTAATATAATCTGTTACTCACTGTATCTCTGTCTCTTGTATGTCATCTTTACCTGTTACTGGTGTGTACATACGTTTGTGTTTGTGTAGCCAGCTGCTGGAGACGGACCTGAAGATAGAGAGGGAGTGGAGGCAGACGCTACAGAATGATCTAGACAGAGAGAGGGATACTGTGTCTCAGCTCAGCACAGAGGCGCTGCAGATCAACGGACTTAAGAAGGTAAGAAGATTGAGAGAAATTAATGTACCGTGTGTGATACTGTGTAGTACGTTTTATTACATACCTGTGTGTGTGACCCAGCATTTGCAACACGTGATCTGATGCATGTCGTCTGTTGCATTTTTCTTCTAGGAGTTCCATCGTCTCCAGGATGAAAACATTCAGCTGAAGACCATCTGTGAGGACCAAGAACAAGCTCTCGAGGAACTGGGCTCCAAACTGAGCGAGTATGTGTGCTTTAATTTTAAAAATGTGTGCACCATTAGAAAGTTGTATTTATGAGGGGTGGGGGGGGAAAAAGACTCATAGGTGAATTGCTATGTAGAGGTGGAAGATTTGGCATCGATACACAAATGTCCTTGTCTATTTTCTAAATGTTAGTGAATAACATGGAATAAAAAAGGCAGATCTCAACTGCGAGGGCAGGACAGCACCTGGACAGTCTACACACAAGCTGTAGTTATGTTGCATTCACACGCTCTTCAGATGGTCTCATTTCCTCGGAAAGTCTTTCTTCAGACTTTGGTGTGTTCATGAGCTCATTGGTTGTAATGTGGAAACAACAAGGACACCACAAAGAAGATGTGTTATATATTAATGGCTTAAAACCACTAAAATATTGCTTTACCTGACCTGTTAATGGGGTTAATGCTAATAAATAACTTTTCTAACTGTTCTAGGATGCTATACTTGGACAGTAACTAACAGTTGTAACCTAATACCATATTATGAATTATATGTAAGCAAAAACTTGATATGACATATGTGTGTTAAGAAAAAGTTTCTTAAAATCAACCAAATATTTGTTATTGTCCGCCATGTTTTTGATAATATGAAGTCAACTGAACAAATCTTGTATCTGACTTTCCAAGTTGTTGCTCCGACTTTAGGGATGTTTGTCTAGTCGGTGGGCGGTGCTTGGTACAGTGGCGGGGTCACAAACCTTCTCATTTTGCAGCTAAACAGTATACTAAAATATGTTTCTTAAAACATTTGAGAAGAGAAACAGAATCTTGATTCATATTTGTTCAGTGCTGCCTAGTTTGACCATATTTCGCAAGCATTGACAGCTGCTTTAGACTTCTTGGCTCTGATTGGTTGTTATTGGAGCACCACCTTCTATTTTAGAAAATGTCACTAGATGCAGTAGGTAGAGGAGCACAGACATGATTTCTTACAGACCATCTTTCTCATGTATTTCTTTCAGAATATAGAGTTTCAGCAGATATGACACTAGGTTATTTTCATAAAACCAACAGTAGCTTTAATGTACCATACCAGTGTTTTTGCATGTTTTACTTGTAATTTACATTCTTGCAAAAAATTGAAGTTTCTAATTCTTGAGAAAGAACAAACACGTTTTTCTAAATGAAACTAAAAAGAGAACCTCCAATAGTTTCTACTGTTTTTAATAATTCCCTCAGAATGAATAAATGTTTGATTACCTGATGGTTTGGTGGTTGATTTTTATGTATTTCCTTTACCTATAACAGTTATCTCATTATATCATTTTTGTCATCAGATCCAAACTAAAGATTGAAGACATCAAAGAAGCCAACAAAGCTCTTCAGGTAAAGTAACAAAAAAAATTTAGTATAGATTTTGTATTAGTGAAGTTGTGCTGTTTTCTAATGTCTATAATGTGAGGTTCAGGTGAAACAGTGATTTACTGTATCATGTTGTTGCAGGGGGGTCAGGTTTGGCTGAAGGACAAGGAAGCCAGCCACTGCAAGCTGTGTGAGAAGGAGTTTTCCATCTCAAGACGAAAGGTCAGTTAACAAATAACCACAAATATGAAGCGAAAAATTCCAATTTCATGTGTTCACACATCTGAAATCCAGACACGGTCAAAACTAGGACTGGACATCATCTGTAGGCCCCTGATGTTGGTGAGGAAGTTAGTAAACCATATCCTTTTTGCATAAGTAAACACCAACTGATAAAACAAAATGAAAGCTTTTGCATTCTAATTTACTTCCTGTTTTGTCACCTGTTATTTACGGCAAAGTCATCCTTCATGCAGGAAGTAAGTTGTTTTAGTTTCCAGTAGCAACAACAAGTCAGAAAATAAGCCACTATGGCTGAAAAGGCAATGTGCAGGAACTCAACAACCATTTGAGGAGATTGATGTTGCAGTCATGGCTTTAGCCTCAAAGGGATCCACAGTAGTGCTATGCTGAATAATTCACTGCGTTTACATGCAGAAAATATTGTTTTTGTCCTCATACAAAAAAGACAATACTCCCTATTAAGCTGTTTATGTGGCTAATGAAAATAATTATTCCACTAATATCCACATTTACATGCAGCTGTGCATACACAGATAAACATAGTCTTTCATGTAATTTATCACTTCAAATATGGAAAAGTGGAACGGCTGGAGCTGCTTGAACCATTTTGCTTCTTTGCAGTTTTCCAACGATGATGCGAGCACAGCTTTCCTTTTTCACTCCTTCAGACACCTACCTGGATATTTGTGTGTATCCAAAAACCTGTTAATATCCAAGTCGTGCATAATTTTTAGAAATAGGCGTTTCTACTCAGGACCAGAATTGTGGGCTTTTGTTTTGGGCATGCATCTCGATCCAGCCTTGCTAACTGTCTGCTAGTTGGTTTGTGTAAAACATATCCATGACAACGGGCAAGCGGCTGTGTGTCGCGAACTGCAGTAAAGACTCTGAGATATATGTCCCAAATGCACCCTGTATATGTCTGAAGAATGCTCCTAAATTCCAAATAATACCATCATATCCCACTTCTTAATTGGAAAAGGCCTTGTTAGGAATATCCAAACATAATATGCTGTTTAGATGACTTGTATCAAATTCAGAATATTGTCATTTTTGGAATAATATTGGAATATTAATCAGACTGATTTCTCAGTGGACAGACGATCAGTCAGTTACTGGGGTACTAACTTCCTGTCTCTCTCTCTTCAGCACCACTGTAGGAACTGTGGCGAGATTTTCTGTAACAGCTGCTCTGACAATGAGCTCCCTCTGCCCGCCTCACCAAAACCAGTCCGAGTCTGTGACACCTGCCACGCCCTGCTCCTCCAGCGATGCTCCTCCAATCCAACGTGAAGGAGCCCCACACTGTCGCTACGTCAGCTTCATCAAACAACCTGAGATGGCAAATCTCAGCCCTCCGGCCCTCTGTAAGATCCATCTCCCAACTTCTGTCAACACAGTTTGCTGCTAGACATGGGCCGTGTGCATGAACATTTAGTACATAATTTTATTTACAGGTTGAAAAAAGTCCCTTATAGGCAAAATAAGGGGCGTCTGCGTCACTCTGACACGTCTTTGTTTGACGTCACTACTTTGTTTGCAGATGCTCTGCAGTATTACTTACTGTACACAGAGAAGGAGGCAATCAGCCCACTGTAACACGGGCCAACATGTATTACTTTGAAACTTAAGGAGTGAGAATATTTGTAGACGGTCATGACTGTTGGCAGACAGATTATCTTAAATATACATCAGTTGTACAAAAGAAACCATTCAGATTAAATTTAGATATGAATGACCTTGGCCAAGAGAGTCATGTGAAACAGAGCTGTGTGAGGACGGAGCTCTGCTATGAAAGGAGGAACGACTTCACGATGAACTGAAAGTGAAACTGCACTGACTGTGATGAGCGCTGCTGCAGCTAAATGCAGACTCTCAATCAAACTATCAGTCTTATTTTGTACTGCATCATTATAATTTATGTATTAAGCCTCAAACTGTATACAATAAGTGTATAACCAAACATATGAGATTATATAATTTATAAATACAGTATCACAGCCTTGTTACTGAGACTGCAGAGCACCCTCTGTAGGGCTGAAGTGAAACTAACACAGACATAAAGGCAACATTTACACAGGCACAAAGGTTCAAGTCAACCTGACAGAGGGGCTAAATCTAACTTAACGTGATAGTTAAGTTAATTCGATAACTGCAAGAAGATCACAACTGTTTTTTTGTCTCTGTTTTAATGCACAGGAGCAACATGGGAACATACTTTGTGACGATGAGACAAACTAATTCCAGGAACGTTCACAGCTCCACGCCAATTTTGCTACCGCTCACACTATGAGCAGACTAGTTCCCCATGCAGCTGTGACTGTCAAAGGAACTGAAAATCTTTTTTCTTTTCCTCTTTTTTTTTTTTTTTTTTAAAAATTATGTTGGTGCCGTTTGTGCCTGTGTGAATCCAAGGAGTATTGCGCACTTGTGCTTCTCATGTTGCCAAAATGAGCCCTGGATTTCTACAGACAGGATTTTTGGAGGCAGAGTCTAAAGTAAAATGTTTCCAAGTCGCAACACTAGGCGTCACTAGTAGCCAAGGAAATATAGATTAAAGGCACATTACACTGTTTGTTGGAGACACTAATGCAGTGGAAGCTGCTTTAAAGGGATCATTTGGGTTTTTTGAGGGAGGTTGTATGAGGCACTCATCCATAGTCAGTGTGTTACCTGCAGTAGATGGCAGTCAGCATGCCCACAGTTTGGAAAAGTAGAAAGGAATACTGCTATGGAAGAATAAGCAGTGTACTGCGGTGGACGGCAGCAGCAGGAAAACATATTTTAGACACCTAAAATATCTGTATGTGTATGCTATATTGACATTGTTTTCGCGTCTTTAACCACCTGGAAAATGCGAGGTTAGGTGCTTCTTTTGTGTCTCTTTTGTGCCAGCTTTCAAGTGCACAGCAGCAGGTTGTGTCTGAGGTTGCTAAGCAACCTTAATAAGAACTGTATCATAGCCTATTTACCTGAAATCCTAAGTGCAGAGCTGATCTTCTTCCAGACGCTTTTTGTGCGTAGGCCTATTGTGTGTGGGCATATGAAAAGTTCTGGCAGCCCGATGGCAAACTGATATTTACGGAAGAAGGGAAAGATATCGGTCAGCTGTGATTGGTTGTTTCTCATCACATGACATGCGATGTGTGCTGCTGCACTCCAACTCGTGTGTGTCGCTCCGGTGTTGTGCGTGCCTGCCATGCATCCTCATTAACAATTAATTCGAGCACGCAAACAATGTGGCATGTGTACGGCCCCTTACCTTGCTATCAGACAGCCCTTTTCCAACAGGAACTTGAAGCCATTCTATGTATGCTCTCTTCAAAGCCACCAGACTCCTTTGACAGCAGTTATTTTACCTCGCAGAACATGGGAGTTGCTGGTCTACCACTGCCGCAGTGGGCTAGTTTAGATACACCAAAGTCACACAATAACACTAACTAGCAGATGGAGGCAGTGGTAGACCTGCAACTCCTGTGTCCTGTGAGGTAGAATTACTGATTTTCATGATGGAGTCTGGTAGCTTTAAAGAGACCAGAGACGATAGCTTTAGTGCCCTGTTGGAAAGGGCATCTGTCGGCAGGGTAAAGCGGTGAAAATACTCTAAATATAGTGCACAGTTAAACTGATATTGATGGTTTATAGGTGTCTAAAATATGTTTCCCTGCTGCCTGCCTCCACAGCAGTACATTTCTTAGCTTTCATGGCTGTACTCCTGCCTGTTTCTCCAAACTGGGGCGTGCCAACCGCCATCTACTGTAGGTAATACACTGACTGTGGTGAAGTATCAATCTTAACTATCCCTTTAAGGACCAAGAAGAGCACCAGATGCTGTCCTCTCTGGTGACACTTTGAAATCAGTCTTAACTGGCTGTGTAGTTGTTGGCCAGCTCACACCATGACCACTTCACTGACTAGTCAGAAGTTAAGAACAGACTTGAGTGTTGCACATGTCTGACGCCACAGCCACAAAATATACCTAAACACTTGCCAATCCAATATTACCTGTAAGAAAGATGAATTTGAGAGTATTTATATTTGATTTTGTGTTATGCACAGTCATTTTTACTTTCAGAAGTTTGGGAATTTGTTTGTTTCCTCTTCACTTGAAGTTAGATGTAATTCAGTGCAGATGGAAACGATATAGAAGAACCACATTTTACTGCTGCTCCATTCCTGAGAGGGAAAGTTTGAAACTCAAGACTATTTTTGTTCCTTTTTTTTTTTTAATGTTTGTGTTTTCAAACTAATGCTGATGACTGTACACTCTTCAGTGACGGGTTATACAAGTTCCACAGCACATTCTGGTTTTGTACTTCAATACGATGTTTACAACCTGTGACCTTTCAAGAACTGGAAGTATTCATTCCCATGAAGAGATGAAACAGGCCTGGGTTTATTTCACCGAGGGGTTTTTTATTGTTTAAAGTATTTAAAACTCAACCAGTTTATCATATCATCATTACTATAGGTACATGTTTCTGAAATGCACCCAGGCCTGAAACCTTTTTGTACAGTGTTGCTCTTAAACATGTCCCAGCTTTCAATGGGACATGTTGTATATACATAATGTTGATAATCACTGTGGCCCTTTAGCTTACTAAATCCTGCCAGTTTAATATTAACTCTATTGCCAACAGTATGTTGCCTTGACTGTGTAGCAGTTTCTGATTAAACCACATTACAAACAACATTCTTCATGTTTTTTTGACATTGAAATTTCTGTGTGAACATTTACTCTTGTTGCACTGTTCCCGCTTAAATCAGCTAACTCTGATTGTTTCTTGATTACACACCTCATAAACAGAGAATTATTCACAACCGTAACACAAATACTTCTTGTAAAGTGATGTCAGGGAGACAGAAAGAGAATTAAATATAAAATTTATTAGGCAAAATGTACAACAGCTACATAAGCTATCTTACAGCTCAAATATAGAGACTTTATTTTACTTCCACTCTTTGAGAGTGGAATATAATATTCAACTTAGTTTTAAATTCTGTAATGAACTGTGAAAACATTCATAAAAAAAACACACTGGCTCACATTTATCAAACCTTCAAAGCAGAAAAGCTGATCTGTTTGAATCAGTAAATTACAGTATGCTTAAATGTTATGCTGACAACAAATTTAAACCAGAATTAACTAAGATTTTTAATTTTTTAAAAATTCTAATCTTGTAACGTTTTGACGTTGCTTCTCAGTGCTGCAATGACCATGCTCGGCCTCGACAGAGCAGTGGCACAAAATGATTCCTTCCTGTATCAGATCCAACAGCTGTTAATATGTCTCCTCTGCACTAATGAACGTCTCCTGCCAACAGTGAGATGTGAGCTGAGACGATTAAAGTGCATTCCAATAGTCACGAAAAACCGCAACACATTCAGTTACTGCCCTCTCAATACCATTCAAACTCTGAAAAAAAGGTGCTTGATTTCTCTTAATCAGATCAGTTGAGAAAAATTTACTTTTCATGTGAGTCGTAAAAACCTATATTACAATAACCAACCCTTTTAAAAATATGACAAACAAGAAGTCTCCTATATGACCCTTTAACCATGTTCAGCACCCACAACAGCTCCGACATCTTCATGTTGATGAGCTGTTTTGTTCTTCAAATGCTTTTAGGAATGGTGTAATAATAATAATAATAATAATAATAATAATAATAGTGCTTGTTCAGGTCGTATTTGGTCTATTTTAGTATCAGAGGTGAAGTTTTAGTACAACTTCACGATAAAAACGACTGACCTCAGATCAGCTCTCCTGCTTAGAAAAAGTAATCGAGTGAATGTGGCCTGAAGAGACTCGAGACAAACGGTCAGGATGGATTGGAAAAGTGGGATGACATCATCAGTATGAACCTCGCAGCCCACTGCTCCGTGAGCCTCCGCCCCCTCCAGAGTTACCGTAGTAACCACTGCCGCCACGACCTAAGAGGGTTGTGAAAAGAAAGGTCAGTGTAAAAATGATGACGTAACTTCATTTGACCATGATGACTGTGTGAGTGAAACTATAAGGTAAAGAACTACAATCTAACTTTTATTAATACTTTATCTAAACAGTTAATAAAAACTCACTCATCTCAGCGGCTCCACTGGCTGTTGAGTTCAGAAACAGCTCAATGTAGCGATGCTCTGTGGAAAAAACATCAATCCGTCATTCATATTGAAGAACTTGTGTTTCTTCTGCTGTTTGATGTGAACTGAAATGCTTGATTTCCCTGTTTAAGAACAATCTAGGGCTGCACCAAGCAGTTCGAAGCTTCATTTACAACGTTGACATTTTTTTTTTTTTTTTTTTACATGTCAATTAATTATGTTATAACCCAGTATTTCTGCAAAGTTGCACATAAATATTAGGCTATGTAATATTATTAGTATAAAACTTTTTGTAGAATTAGTTCCTGGTGGTGGCTGCAGAGGATTGTTTCCGACTTGTTTGATCCAAACATCTCCAGTAACTCCAGAGAGTTGTGAAGTCCAAAAGGTAAAATTCATTAAAAAAGGATAGATGTAATCATTTCTAAAATTCACAAGATATTTTTATCTAATGAAATTTTCTTCTTCAGTCCATTTGTGGGCTTTCATGAACAAGTTTTTCACTGCGGTCAAAAAGAACTGTTAGCTCCCTGGCTTGCAGCACACCAAGGGATGCACGCACCTGTATTAACATGGCAGTCTAGCAGCAATCTAGCAGCACAATAAATTACATTTATACAACCATAATAAACAAAAAAAAAATGTTTAGACTCTTACATCATTATAGTAAATTACTTCAGTTATTATTGATTTAAAGATGATGAAAAAGGTGATGTAATAAAATATGACAACAGAAATTAAAAGCTTAATTCAAAATCCTCAACAGAAGCTTAAGAAAAAAGATATTCAGCACAGCCCTATAACAATCTGGAATATCTCAAAATAGTGTCATGAAAAATACCAGGATATTTTTTTATGCTCTTTAAAATGAATTAAGAGCTAACTTTTTAAAACCCTGGCTGTTTGAGTGATGGGCCTGTGACTTTGTTCTAATCTTCTGTTTCTGTAGAAACTGATCCACTTGTCTGCTGTTCGTCAGCAGGTAGTTTGTGTCATAAATGCTGCGTAATGTAGCTTGAAAAAGTGATGTCACAAGTAGGCTTGGAGAGTATGATAGTATTCTCGTATAGCGGGGTATCTGGAAATAACAGAAATACAGAAGCTCATCTTCTATTAACCTCAAATGGAGAGGCAGTATTGCAGATGTATTAAATGTAGTTCCAGCACACGCCACCAAGGGTCAGTCTCTACTACCGAACAGGCAGCTGAGCTGACAAACAACCGCAAGTGGGAGAGATAATGTTAGAAGACCGAGAGAATGCAGGGAAAAACAGCGTATTTTCACATCTAACTAAGTAAATTAAGGATTTATTGCAACCAATCCAGAGCTGGTGACTAGACGACTAAAAAAGACTAACAACGGCAGTTTTGGTTAATTTTATTTTGTTTCTGTCAAGTTTAAATTAAGTGTGAGGAAAAAAATAGGTAGCTGTGCTGAACTTAAGGAACTGTGTAATTAGTTGTAAAAAATCAGGTGGTCTTCAAGGACAGGGCAAACAGTCACATAAAGATAGTGTGTTTTACAACAGGTTAACGAGACCATTAAATTAGTCTTAATTTGGTGAAAGAGAGAAACTGGAATTCAGGTGCATGGTTGTATTTCTCTGTCTAATAAGGAAAAAGGTGTATGATTGCACTTTTCTGGACACTTCATGAGTTTGTACTGTTTATTTATAAGACTGATAAAGCTAAGAGAGTTTGCATTTCACAGCAAACTTGCCAGTTTGGAGGGGAGAGGTAGCACCACACACTAATACTGTCATATCCTGTACAGCCTATAAAATGTCAGGACAGTATTAAGGTATGAAAAAATAGAAACTGCCCAAGCGTTACCACAAGAGGTTAGACAAGCTGAGGAAAGAGGAAAAAGAGAGAACATACGCATGTGGTTCTTGTCTTTGGACATGGCTGCCACAGCGTCTTCATGGGAGCGAAACTCCACATCTGCCTCTCCAGTCGACTTGCCGTTTGGAGCCACATCAATGTGGACCCTCAGTGGATTCAAAGGAGAGAAGAACTACACCAACAAAGAAACACACATACATTTAAATACATGAAGTCACAAAGTTTTTTTTTTGTTAGTCTTTCAACATTCAGTGTTTATTCAAATATAGTAGCTTATTGAGCTTCCTTAACCAAACCAAAGGTTCAATTTTAGGACCTTTCTATAATAACAGAATACAATTTAACACCTGTTTCACTATCTTACCGTCTATTGTATTAAGTGTGAGGACCCAGAATAATTTATATTACATGATATTTTCTCTGTAAACACATACTCTGGCTTCTCCAGTCACCTCACCCGGCACATCTTACACATATGGATTGTATAAACTACAACTGACTGTACGTGGTAATTTTTTTTTTCTCCGCCTTTAGATCTGAACACTTTTTTTATTTTGTTATTTCAGATTCGGTGTTGTTTAAATTCACTGAAATAACTGCAGCAGCAACATGTTGTAACTTGCTGTATTATCCTCTGTTTATGACACCACTGTTGTGGTCACCAAAAAATATGTACTTTCTAACCTCCACCTCATCTACAAGCACCTCGATTTCTGTGTCAGAAAAATCCTTTTTTTTCTTGCTCTTCCTCTCGGGTGTTGTTAAGATTCACTCTAAAGATTCACTGATCAGCAGGCTCATTTCTACGCATCGACATTCATGAGGTGCTTTGCATTGACCATTTCTGGTTGAATGTGGCCGTGCAGAGGGCCGGGTATAAGGCTGACAGGCGTATGCAAGGTTTTACATATCAGAACATTTACTTTAAGAACGGATCCTATGCACTGTTTTATAAAAGAAACCCCTGGTCTCAGTGTGCGTGTGTTCTTACTTTAGCGACATCTCCCTCTGTGGCACGGAAAGGTAAACCCCTCATATGGACAAAATGGCCACTGTGGAAGCCTGAACAAACATCACTTTGACCACCGTAACCATGTCCTCCCATCCCTGAGCCAAAACACACAAATAAATCCACAGATTACCAAGGTAGCATTTAGTAATGTAGAAGAGAGAAGTAATCCGATACATACCAACTTGACATTTACTTAATGAAAAGAAAAGTAAATATGCTTTTTAAGTTATTAATGTTTCTTGTTTAATGCGTAAAATCTTCATATAACTTCCAATGAGGTCAGAATCTTTATAAAAAAAAAACCCAATCCTAACTCTGTTTATTCATACCAACAATGTTAAAATTTAAAAATGTTAAGGTGTAGAAAATTCTAGATTTGTGCCAAACGGTAATTCATGTGAAAGATTTTTTTTTTTTTTTTTTTTTTTTTTTTTTAAATGAACACCAGAAATGTAAACTAATCAATTACTGGAAGACATTTTAGCCTTTCAGCAGGGATGCCTAATTTAAAGTATATATTAGAGGGTTTCAAACATTTATTCAGCATTTCTAAATGCCGGACTTTGGAGGGTAAATAAATGTTGGACTTTACCTCTTCCTCCCCTCTCTCCTCTCACTCGCTCATCAAACATGCCATTGCCAAAACAGTAGTTGTTGAAGCCGTTGTAGCTGTCAAAGCCACCGTAACCTAGACACAGACAAACATGACACAATTAAAGCAGGGCTCATTCTTTCACATCACAGACTGCTCTTCAACAAAGATAACAGAACTGAATAACTGGCCAACTTCCTGCTGGCTCAGATAAAGGAAATAAAGGCACTGGTGCCCAAAATACAGTTGGCACAGACACTAAGCGTTGCATAGGCGGGGCAAAGTTTTATACCTGTTACAGACTTTGCTATGTAGCGTGTGGTTGGGTGCCAGCTTCACTGCGTACATACTGAGTTTTGCCAGGTGACAATGTAGTTGGTTATGCAGGGTTGGGAAGTTTAAGCTGTATTAACTGGTACTGAATTAACAGAATTAATTACTCTATTCTTCTGTTCCAATTGTTTTGTGAGAACTGACTAATATGACACTTGAACAATAAAGTAGACATTTACAAACTAGAACATACAAACATCCTTACCATGTTTTAAGTTCCCCTCCACTCAAAAATATGTTTTTCTTATTTTTATGTCCCCTTAAATGTCTGACCTTGAATGACCTGACTTGTAACTGTGAAAAGTTTGTCAACAGAGAGGTGTTTTCACAATCCTCTTCTGAGAGGGGTGATGTCTGTCCATTTCCCTAAAACCGGAGATTTAAACAAATGCCTGGTGAGCTAGATTAGGTATCTCTGAAACACGAAAGCCAACTGCCATCTGATACAGGAAACACATATTGACGGGGGAACAGACTTCAACACAACACCAGCAAAGAAGCCTGAACCCTCTGGCAGAAAACAGAGTTTGCAACCCAATCCAAGTTTTTGGATGTATTAGCATTAGTGAGTATTGCCTTACTGCTCAGAGTACCATAGAAAACTAAAAACACAGGCTTCTGCATAATTAATCATCATCGTTTTGTTCTACTGTCTACAGCACTGACCAAGTACACTTTTGCAGCCACAAATATTCATGTGTTGCAGAAACACAGAACTCATCTTACCTCCTCCATAGCCCCCTCCGCTCCTCATGGTGTCCATCAGAGCCCCTCCGCGGCCAGGCCCGGGCCCAAAAAACCCTCCTCTGGCACCCCCCATCATGGGTCTATCGTAGGGCCCTGGTCTCTGACCACCCATTCCCCGTCGGGGCAGCTCATAGTAGGCTCGGATCTCATTGCGACTACTCTTAAAAATCTCTATGTACCTGCAAAATGAAAGGCCCATGAGGTGGAGGGGGGCAGAGGAGAGGGTTAAGGAGTAGAAATGGCTTACCTCAGGTTACATACATAGATATAATTAACAGAGAGATAAGATAAACAAACATAAGACAAATATTCTAAATAGTGGTCTAAGTAGTTTTAACCTGGAGCAGGGTGTCTGAATGACTGAACAACCTCAACAAATTCTCATCATTAACTGGGCTTAGGGCTGTAGTTAAGGATTTCTACACCAATCTCACCTTAGTATTTACAATAAGGAGAATCATTACAGGGCTTTTAGGTGATGCACTGATCATTTTAATATTAAGAACTGCAGAGATGTTTGATGATTTAATGGGAGAGGCTGCCTTGACTGACCTCTGCTATACATCTACACTTAATCCCCTCTTACACAGTAAATTATCTGTAAAAAAAAAAAAACTGTATAAAAGGATATAAGGAAGTGCCAATAAAAATGATCTAATGTACCCAAATGTTGCTCTAACACAGTTAAACAGAGCTTCCAGGTATTTAACGACTAACAGCAAAACTGTGTATGGCATAAAATACTCACACCACCTTCAATATACAGATCAGATACATAACCTTTCATCCCATTATTCAACATGTCACCATTGTTACAATACATAATCCCATTAAACCCATGTCATTATCATTTTAATAAATATCACATGACCCACCCAATTAATTTACCCACTTTACCATAATTATTCTAGCACACCATCCCATGCTTATCATTCAACCATAACAGAGCCCATCCCATTAATACCATAATTACTCTAATATGACCACCCATGAAATACTGCAATAGAAGCCCAACCCAGTCCAGCCCGTCCCTTTCCCGTCTGTCCCACCTGTGCCCTATTCTTTCCTTGTGTTTCCCCAGAGCCTTTTCTGCTATCTCCTTTGAGGCAAACTGCACGAAGGCTTCCCCTGTGCTCCTCCCCTGGTAGTCCACTGGCAGAGTAATCCCATTTGGCACGATTCTCAACCCTTTAACCCAAGCACACATAAATACATAGGTCGGTAGGTAGACTGATAGATGTGTAGAATAGATAGAACAATACCCACTGCATCACTGGAGCTTTCAGGATTAATATAAATGTCATAACTGTGATAAACACCAGCTGAAGTATTTGATTAGATTGTATTAAAAAAGGGCATCTCAGAGGGTTGAATATGTTATAAAATTAAAGTGAATGCAGACAAAAAAAATCTCTTCACAACTGAATTTAGGTGACTGGCAAAATTATTATTACTAATTGGTGTTGAGTGACACTGGCCCGTAATAATTCTTAAGTGTTGATTATCTTAGATAAAGTCTGCCAGTGAGCGTAATCACAGTACTGACCCCAGATCAGTGTCATGGGACAGTCTCCCCTCAGCCAAACCAGCCCAGCCCATCCTATCTTTTATTTTTAATTCATCCCTTTAGGAGGCATGATGTTATGGTCATATTGCACACACATGCTAAACAAAGTGTGAACATAACACTAACGTAGAAGGGGCATACTCACAATTCATAACAAGGACTAACTGGTAAACACAGCATGACTATACTACAAGAACAAACATACATTAGGCCTTTGGGCCATGACACAAAGACATGCTGGCTCAAAGTCAAATTAATACCACTTTGTAATATGAGAGAAATCCAAAATGTAAAAACATAATGTTAAATGTTTGTTAAATGGCATATCTGTTGATGAACTTTGAATGTAAGTGCAAGCTTATGTCGTGGTGTGTTTTTGTGGGGTCGATCTGCAAAGTGGAAATCAGTCTGAAGTGCAGTTGGCAGTAATTTGACTTTTTCATGAAACAGTCAAAGTCCTATTTCCTGATATCGTGGTACTTTTTATGACAGAGCCTGTAAATGTAAGGTTGACCGATGTTCTACTGTTGTACAAACTTGGCATTAGAATAATGTTAAACTAAATGCTACTATCAAATTGAAATTCTACATATTGTGGCTTTTAAGGTATACTAAGCAGGATTGCCGGTTTCTGTTTTTAAACATACTCGCCAGCAAAAGTGAAAGTAAAAGCCAACCGCAGATTCACTCTGGTTTTACCTGGCTACATTTGCATTGTTTGGTGCTTTGTCTCTTGTATGCCTGCTGCTTACGGTCTGGCAGTTGGTCACTACCTTTGTTTAAAGCCCAACCACACCTAAGCACTGTGGGGGTACACGCCCATAAACGTCCCCAACACAGAAAAAAATGGGCAGAGTCTCTGCAGAGAAATACACTGCGGCATAAGTCTAGTGGGTCATCTGTGATGATTGAGGGGATTACTTTTGTATGACTCTACAATGTTTTTAGAAAAATCCTGCATAGTATAACTTTCAGTACCTGGGCCATTAGACTTGGAACAATGAACAGAACTATTAGAAGTGTTTCTTAGACTTATTTCATTAGAACTATTTCTTGGCCTTATTTAATAATGCCTATGGATTCATTGACGTGAAACAGCACTATACATAGATAGTGACTGAGTGAGGAGTAAAATGTATGCAAAGCCTATGTGCATCTGACATTTCTTTTAGTGGTTTTGTATCATTTGATTGTTTTGCACCTCAGGCTAAGAAACTTTTTTGCATATTTAAATGCTAGCAGTAGTTCAGTTGGCACCCTACACTCTGGTGTTGACAGTCCAAAAAAACCCTACAAACTACAATGTATCAGAAAAACTATCCATCAGATTAACATAAATGGTGCAGTATCAGTACAACTCCATAAGGTTACAAAAGATTAAATGTGCGTGTACCTGAGAAGAACTGAACAATCTCCTCCTTGCTGCAGCCAAAGGGAAGGCCTCTAAGTCGCAGCATGCAGCCGCTGCAACTGTCATAGTCAGCAGGACCGCTACGTTTCAGCACCCAGTCCATCTCACTACGGTTTGACTTGAACACTAAGACAGACACACAGATGGACACAAATACACGCACGTCAAACTCTGAAAGGACAATTTAAAAAATGATTTTTTTCATTGGAGTTTGGTTTAAAGCATATCACAGGCACACACAGAGACACAACGCATGCTGGAAAATGTCTATTTGTATGGGTAACTGAACACAGGTGAGCCAAGAAACTTTTACAAGCATAGCAAAAAGGAAACAATATCTCTACAGTACACTGATGAGACGACATCAACAGAGTAAGTTGACCTTTAACTGTTTCTATCAGTAATTTCATATAATGCAGCAACTGTTCCAAGAGAAAGTTGACACAAGTAAACAACCACCGCCACATTAGTCTGCTGTGATCGCTTATATTGCTTACCCTCTATGTATCGGTGTCCCATGTATTTACGGTCCTTGGCGAGGGCATTCTTGAAATCCTCTGACGTTTTCAGCTCAATAAATGCCTCTCCACTGGGACGGCCTTCTTTAGAGTAGGTGAAACACACTCCGTTTACTTTCCCAACAATGTCACAGTCTGTAAAGGAGTAAGATTGATTGAGATTACCTTAAAAGGATGCCTACACAAAAATTTCCTGTCATAAAAGAAAAACTCACAAAAGAGGGTACGAATGGATCCAATAAAATGAAACGATCACTATCATTCTCTGATTCACCTGAGATCCTTACAGCATTCTCTAATGAAATTTGAAACATAAAAATGAGGTATCAGCTTAGAAAAAGTTGAAACCACAGGTTGCTTCTGTGCTTAACAACAAGAGAGGCTGTAGGAGGGAGAGAGGACTCTTGGAAACAATTCAAATGACAATGAGGCCAGCTAAATTCCACTTAAACCTAGACAACCAAAAAAATGATGCTGCAGTGCAGCCCTGAAGTCACTAAAATGCACTTATAAACTTATTAAAACCTTTCATGCTTCATGCTGTAAAGATAATGTGTGTGTATTCTTACCAGAGAAGAAACTGGCAACCTCCTCCTGCGTGCAGGACCATGGTAGTCCTCTGATTCGAACCACATAACCCTCTTCATTCAAAGACATCCTCACTGCCACAGACAAAACAACACAGCAGCCACACATCAAATTACTGTCAATAATACTTTTATACAATTCGCCCATCACAATCATGATTAAAAACACTGTGCTTCCAGTGTCCCCTGACCTCCTAGCACACTTCACTGTGGAGTCCTGGGCCCACTTGAGCATTATCTGTGCAGGTATCTTTAATAAATATGTGTTTAACAAGCTGCTTTAAAAATGTCTTTATGGTCTAGCAATAGCTAACTTTAATGATGAGTGATTATAAAAGCCTTGTGTTTTATAATTAAGGTACATAATAACCAGAGCAATCAACTATGAAATATGCAAATAATTGACAGACATCAACAGCATCATAGAATTTCTACACGAAGCTTACAACGGTGTTATAAACAAGTTTTGCAGTCTATAGGAAACCAAACAAATGCCAGAGACTAAAACAGCGTACCCGAGATTATGAACAGTGTGCAATAACATAACCTCAGTAGGAAATATCCGATAATTTAGCTAAATAATGCAGGTCCCTGCAGCTGTCACAGCAGTCATACAAGCTAACGTTTATTACTTCCTCCTTCCAACTGTATCTCAAAGTGTTGGTAAAACCTGGAGCTCTGCTAGCTACGGTAACCACAGTTAAACTTCGACTCCCTAAGACATTTCCAAACATATCTTGAACAGACTTTATCTATTCTTTAGTTAAGTTACTTCTTTGCAGGTCGCCACAGGAGGATATTTGTCAGCCTGGACTCTGGGTTCCCTCAAGATGCTAACGTCTCTCTGCTGTCAGGCTGACGTGCTAACGTTAGCTTGAGCACATTAGCAGTTAGCAGGCTAACGGCTACGGCTAACTGTAGGACACTGACAGCGGTCAAACGTACAGGGCAGACTAGTTTAATTCCCAACGGCCGTGCGCCGCCAAGGGACATCAAAATATATCCCCGAACAGACATATGTCATACGACAGTGACAAATGTCTGAAAACAGTGAAATTATCTCACAGTCGCCTCTCGTCCCCGGTCTCCTGCTCCTGTCCCGAGCCTCAGGTGTCACTACCGTTTCCAGCAAACCCGCTCAGGTATGTTATCGCGAGACTTGGGTACGGGGTAAAAAAATCATGACTGTTTGGACCGTTTATCTTTTTAATAACGACTTATTATTAATAGCAAACACAGTGATGACGTTACAATAAAAAATAATAAATAAACTTCTTTTAAGAGGAGGAGTTATGGGAGGAGGAGTGTAAACGCATGTTATGTCTTAAAGTTTTATCCAAACAAATAATTAAGATTGTAAAATACCATAGGGACATCCTGTGCATAATATATATATAATGACATTTAGGCTATTTATTCAACCTATTCTTTGAATGCCCGTTCAGTTAACTGATTATTTCCCCCCATATATTCTTCTACTGTCTGTTTACACCTCTTCATATAAGCCTATTTATTACTTCTCATTATGCATTTACATTTACTATATTCCTGTATATACGCAGTTTATTCATTTACAACATCCTGCACAAAGTTTTGTTACTTCACTTATATTTTTGGACACATATTTACCTTGCTCTATTCTATATCTTGAATTTAGATTTTGCTTTTACTTGCATGACTTAAGAACTTCATAACTGTTGCACTTTTGATAAGAATAAAAAACTTGCCTCAGGAGGCTGTTGCATTCAGACAGGCAGATTAAAAACATGCTGATAATTAATGATCATCTACAAAAGCATGATTTGGATACAGTTTGGAAATTGCAAGAAAATTTGATCCCTGAAAATGTAGATTTCACACTCATCAAAAAGGACTTTGAATTGTCTGGCAACCCCAGCACTTCATTAACTTTATTTTTTATTTTTATTTTTATTTTTTGTTATATTATGTTTAAGTTAAATTTAAGTTAAGTTTAATTCCTTTATTAATCCCCCTGAGGGGAAATTCAATGTTTTCACTCTTGCTTGTCAATTACACACAGGTCCGAAAGACACACACATGCACAAACAGGACCTATACATGCACAGATTGGAGAGATGTCAGCGTGAAGGGGCTCTATACTATTATTTACTTATTTTATATGAGGGAACAGATCTAAAGTCCTGTACCGCCACATATGACAGCAACAAACTCGTTTCCAACACATTAAGCGTCTAACAATAGTCATGCCGCTGAAAGCACTGGCTGCAAATCTAGCCTTGGACCAAGACGTTCATTGCATGAACGTCTTGAAAACGAACCCCGTTTTTCGTGTGGGGGTTCCCGGTCTAGACCGATTCACGTCTCCATAAACTTTCAAATCAAACATGTAATGTACTCACCTCATAGGCACAGATGTTAGGAAGGTGTACGGGGGTTGCCGTGTGTTTGTATATCCGTTATTGTTCAATAAACAGGACAAGACATCCCGAGATAAAATGCATGTTTTCAGAATAAAACAAATTTCAAAATAAAACACCCGGTTGACAAATGCGATGTATGTGTGTGTTTATATACATATTAGTCAGTGGTATCTAAACAGAGCGCGAGAGATGAATATGAACACACACACACACACACACACACACACACACACACACGCACGACAGAGAGGGCCGGCGGGAGCAGAAGTGCTTGTCGACCGGCGTGGAAAAATGCGCGTCTGATGTGAACGGGCTCGCGCGAGAATTTCGGTGCGCTGCGCTTCGCAGCACTTCGTTGGCAGTGTGGCCCTGAAATAAAACCAAACAGACTGGGTGTAAAGTCCATAGACAGCAGTGGACTGATTGTGTCAAAGCCCATGTCCTCACTGGAGACCCTTTTAGCCTATGTCATTTTCATATTTAGAACATAATGGAGATTCAAGTGTTCACTCTGGATGCCTTCACTAATTTACCTTTCAAGGGAAACCCTGCGGCCATTTGTCCACTGATGCATGTGAGTAAGGATTACTATACAGTTATGTCATAATGCAGAGGAGCATATGGCGGCGTGCATTAGGACTTAAAGACACTTCTGCTTGTTGCTTTTGGTGTGTGTTTGGTGGTTTGCTCCTTGTTACATTTACTGATTAAAGGGACATTTTCAGTGAGTAAAGTTTGCCAGTTTCATTGCTCATGTTACATAATTTATTGTAAAATGAACAGGGCATAGTTGTAGCACCCTGGCATGTTTTTAATCTATCCATCTATGTGCATGTATCTGTTTGAAATAATTACATGTCACAAGTGAAGGTGTATATTTGTGCATTGTGTGTGCGTTTCTAACAGGAACTGAGCGATGACTTGTATCAGAAGATAGCAGTAGAGATGAACCTGTCAGAAACAGCTTTCATCACCAGGATCAACCCCTCTGATAGTTTTACAACAGGTCAGATAATACAGAGTTAATTATATATCTGTAGATGGATTTAATAGAAATGCACATCTGTGGGACAGGTTTGCATCACAAGAATGAACCCCAGTATTATTATGATTCTTTGCCTATGTGCAACCCATGTATTGTTGAGGCTCTTTGACTGGGAATAAAACTGTTGCAAGCAAATAAGTGGATATTGGAAACAATAAGGACATGTTAATGAAGATGTAAGTACCTGCTAATGGCCAGTAGAAGCTGTGACCCTGACCGAACCTTAAATTATTAGTGTTGGATAAAAAAAACAGTGATTTTTTTATGGTTAGAGCTTCAAAATTTGTTCACAGAATGGCATTACAGGATAAGCCACCTAATATACAGTATGCAATATGCGAAATAGGCACACCTTTACATACTGTGTAGCTATGAGTAGCCTACAATATAGAAAGCACAGAGCTCATGGGATGAAAAACACAAACACTTCTACCTTTAGAGGAAAGAGCAGGCTTTATTTTTAAGTGTGGGCGACCCCCACTTACCGTTGCTGCCTTCACCATAGATTGGTTTGGAAAATCCAGGTGCACTGATGAAAAGCAAACAGATGAACATCAAACTGATGCCTCTGACTTCAGTGGCTGCTCTGATAAAGTCATAATAAACATGTTAATGATTGCAATTAATTAAGTGGCTGTAAGACACAAGGTTAGAATGACATGTCAGATACTGATAAAGGAACACCTCAACCCCAAGTGAATTTTATCAGTCAGTTACCTCGTATTATGCCGAATTCATTTTTCTCGGATGCCTCCAGTAAACGAAGAACAAAACAGATTGGACGCAGAGCTGAACTAAAATTCAAACTTATCAATGGTGTCTTCACAGCCAGACTCCAATAACAAAAACATCAATTTTACCAGGCTGAACATGGAAGCAGCTGGTCTACCACTGCCTCGATTGGTGGTTTGTTTTATTATTTGTGTGACTTTGGTGAATCCAAACTAACTATTAAAAACACCAAAGTCACACAATAATGCAAACAAAGCTGATCAAGGCAGCACTGGACCAGCAGCTCCTGTGTTCAGTGAGGGGAAAATGACTGTTTTTGTCAAAGGAATCTGGCTTTGCAGAGAGCATGGCTAAGTTTTACTTTTATTTCAGTTTCCAAATAGGACTGTCTGTCTGTGAAGCACTGAACACACTACTGGATAAATGTGACTTTGATCAAACTGCATGGGTTGTGCCAGAGTTCGTATGCCAGAAACAAAGTTTTCTTCGAAATTCAGCAAAATACCAGGTGGGTAACTGATACACAAAAGGTCATTCAGGAGGTTAAATATTCCTTTAAAGACATGCTGGCAGCAGGTTAAAGAGACATAGCTGTGAACCTCTGTGCAGTTTGCTGAGGCCATTTTTCCTTTATGTGTTCAGAAAAAATACCTGTCCTCAGCATTTTGACAGGTACGTTAACCACACAGCTAAGACTTGCATTGTTAGGCGTGAGAAGGACAATGCAGTGAGCTGCCAGAGAGGAATGTGTGTTATTTACACTCAGAAGAATCTTTCAACTAAAGTCACCATATATTACTGTAAAACTTAAACAGGTCTCAGGCTTCATTTGATAAAGAAATTAACTTCATAGTTACTGTGCTTGTTACTGTGCTTGCACCTCAAGTATCAGCTATTTTACAGTTTACATGCAATTTTACTGCAAATACACTGCATTTGTAAATGTCACTGTATGGATGTGAATAAACAGGATTGATGTGCCATTATACCAAAAGACTAATCTCTTGCAGTCATGACAGAATAAGTAATACAGCCTCAAGTGAATATTATTCAGTCTCCATGGTTTCACATTTTTCTTGCAGTTAAGCAGTAACTTATTGTACACATCAACACATTTTTTATCCATTTAAGAAATATTCAATGTGTTATATTCAGCTGTTTTAGACTATATGTTCAAGTTCTGTATGTGTTAAATCACCTGTCCGACATGTGATTAACAGGATCACGCTTCAAACTTCGATGGTTTACACCAACCAATGAAGTGAACCTGTGTGGTCATGCCACTCTTGCCTCTGCTGCAGTGCTTTTCAACTGTAAGAGTAAGTTACAAAGCAAACACACACACACACACACACACACAAACACACACAGTGCATCAAGGTTCATTGCCAGTTATAATCCCGTTCATGCACTGGCTTAATTTTTAACACAGGGGCAGAAACACGGAATTTCATGAAGTTTAATTGAGAGGCGTGTTGAAATTCTTAAGTAATCTAAAGTATTGTCAGCCAGCTTTACACTGTACAGTAGTGTTAGAGCCATTTCTGATTTCAAAAGGAAAGTACGGTTAAATTTGTGGCTCTAAAGGCGTGTTTTTTTTTCCAACGACATGGCCGTCTGCCTTGGTGTGGTCAGCCAGTCTCAGCCAGGCAATGGGAGACTCCTGTTGCTCAGAGCAAAGCGCAGTGATTTGAATGGCAGACAGGAAGTGATGCAAATTAAAACAAGAGAACCAACCACAATGAATGGAGCCTGTCTGGATGCAGAGACAGCATCTTGTAAGCCATCCTACCCTTGATTGCAGGCATGTCATAAATCCAGCCCAGGAGCCAATCATGGTCAATCATTGTCTCTCAAAATATACTGTATGTAGCCTGCCACACAATATTGGTTAATGAAGCAAGATCACCTTGCATTTTTTTTTCTGTTCACCTCATGATAGCACATTATTAACAAGCATTAAACAGTCACCTAGCAGAAGACATTTCCTGCTAGGTAGCAGACATGGCCACAGCAAAGAAGCTTAAAGTCAACAGCAAGAGATGTTGCTTTCAGGAGCGGTGGAAAGTTGAATATTTTTTCTCTTAAAGCTTAAAGACTAAACAGTTGCGTTTGTCTCATTTCTATGTCTATGTGTGTGAGTGTGTGTGTGTTTTTAATAATCCATTTATATGAGAGAAGCAGCTGGTCCCCAGGTATTTTCACTTTACCTAATCCCCCATTCCAAGAAGTTTCAACAGTCTGGACACCCCTGCTTGGTGGTGTTGCATTTAAATTTGTCCCAACAGCTTTGGTGACCTGCTTTGTCCGTAAACATGCCAAACATATTAGAAAACATTCCTGCACGGCGCAAAGATGCAAAATAACAAAATGACTGTTTTGATCTAAGTATTAAGTTTTTCTTTTTTGTAATCACCAACAATCTTATAATTTCATAGTTACTGTAACAGTTTACAATAACAACATATAACTCTGTTAAATTTAACTACTTACTCCTCACCATTGTTAATCATCCACCTGTGAGCACAATGTTATCTTTGAATATATTATGTCTGTCAGAGAATGTCAACCCCAAACTGGTGTTTGAGACCAGGAGTGGAGATCTGGCTGTCACCCAGCAGGGGGAGGGATACCTCATGGACTTTCCTCTCAACCCACCCACCCAGCAGGTATAGTATGTGGTCAGAAGGACAAGGCACTCCTGGCTGAAATCTACTGTTATAGGTTCAAATATTAGTCTCAAAATGTGTATTTATGTTAATAAGTGAGGGATACATATGGGCTTTAAGGTTAAATTAACATTAGATTTTCCAAAAGAAACTTTGCAAAGTATTTTAAAATATAACAAAATGCTATTATTTTAAGAGTTTTTTTTCTAAAAACCCATTTTCACAGGATCCCAATGACTTCAGAGACATCATCCAGGTCAGTAAGGCACCTACTCTCTCTCTGCGAGAGCATGTTTCACAGCAGAATCTGTGTGTACAGCATGTGCCAGTGTGAGTATGTTCCTGTGTGTTTGTGAGTGAATGTTTAACTGTGTCGCTGCGCGATACAGGCTGCAGTTGGAAACCTCCCAATCCAGGATGTTTATCTGAGCTCCACCACCAAGAAACTGATGGTTCGACTGGCTGACAGCTGTGACAGGTTACAATCATACTCATACACACCTGTAGTATAATAGTTATTTATCTTTACACGTGGACAGCAGTTCCTAAATCCCTCACTTGTGTTTTGCCATGCTTATGAGTAGCTTTACATTTGTTTTGCATGTGTGTGTTTCTGCAGGTCAGCACTAACCAGTCTGAGAGTTGATCCTGTCGCTTTGCAGAGCAGTGATAGGAGTGGAAGAGTCAAAGGACTAATCCTCACCATGAAAGGTGACGAGAGCTTAAAATTAGATCCTTCAGTTAGACCGGAGGGATGTGATGTATAATTACATATTTTGACACTGTTAAGTCCTTAACTCTCCTGCCCTCAGCTCATCCAAAACTCTGCTGCCATCATTTTTATTTGGGCTAGGAAACATGACCACATTTAACCGACCCTGGCTTTCTTACACTGGCTACCCTTTGCTCATAGAATAGATTTTATGTTATTGTTGATAAAGGATGATCTGCCTGGAGAGATCTGTGATTCCTAGTTTTTCGCTCTTAATTCATTTCATTCTTTATGTTTTTTAATGTTTTTTTTTATTGTAAAGCACTTTGTAACTGTGCTTTGAAAGGCTATGTAAATAAAGTTTATTAGTATGGATCATAAAAATGTCCTTATCTATCTGCCAACAGGATCCCCAGACTGCCAGCCAGGATACGACTTCTACTCCAGATACTTTGCTCCGTGGAATGGCATCCCTGAGGATCCCGTCACTGGTACACTAATACGACTACTTCTACTTGTACTACAGCAGCCCCAGTGGCCACACATTCAGACACAGTCTTTGTCGGGTTACAGAGTGTGATATCATGGCAACACGTAGCTCACTGGCGAAAATGCAAAAGCATGTACAGTGCCAGATGTGGCGCAATCACACAGTAAAATAGGTAAATGTTCAGTATGTGTCTTTTAAATGTAAAATTCTGTTAGTGTTCTGATTTTATTTATTTTGTGTCCCCGCAGGGTCGGCTCACACCGTGCTGGGTAGCTACTGGTCTGAGAAACTAGGAAAGAAGAGAATGCTGGGTAATTTGTTTAGCCAAATCCACATTAACATTTGAGTTTATCAGCAACTTGTCACTTTAACAAGCCACAGAAAAAACCATTAAACAATGTGTCATGTCCCGCTATAAACAGTCTATAACTACTGAACTGAAACACAGTGACACTCGTATCATCTCCTGTGTGTGTTTGTGTAGCTTACCAGTGCTCCAGGCGAGGTGGGGAGCTGGAACTGGAAGTGAGAGACGACGGAAGAATCAACATAGGTGGACAGGCCGTCACTGTGCTGCTGGGAACGATCACACTATAGCTGAGGACACATGCAAGCAAAGAGAGTTGGGGATGACGGGACTGTCCGTATGTACCTGCACACAGGAGCAGACACAGGGTTTCCAACATTTGATAGAGATGGATTAAATAAAAAGAAAAACAGCTTATTGTCCAGACTGGATCATCTATTATTTAAACATCACCAAGCAACAAACTACAAGATGAAAAGAAGCTCTCACGCTTTGATAGTATTTGTATTATTTATTCACCACACAAAGGAAAAATCACAATGTTAAAAAAGTAAAAATAAAATACAGACAAGACGGGTAAAATCAGAGGTTGTGTCGAAATAGAATCAGTTAGCTTCTGGCGGGACGTTATCTGACATGCTCTACTCTACAGAAAAACTTAATCATCAGTTAAATCATCGCAGGTCATTAACGTTAGATTACATCTGAGGCAAATATATTTCTTAAAGATGATGGTTTCCTACAAACTCCTGGAGTTTTAACTGGTGTCAAGATAGCAGGTAGTTTCCTTTGTATTCATTTTGTCTGCGTACACAAAGGAACAGACGCAGAAACCTCAGCCAATTGTTACAGTTTAACACTGTAAACTGATGAATAAAGAGAAATTAAGATTTATATACACGTGTTGTTTCACTTTCTTTGCTGTGTGGACCAATGTAGCTCATTCACTGATTTAAATAGAGTACTGCTGATGCAAGATTTCCTATGTTGAGCTGGAAAAAAAACTGATTTAGTAACTTAGGACTACAAATAATTCTGGTTCTTGTGACATTGTGATGCTTCATTTTTCGGTGTGAAGTCCCTGGTATACTGACCGATAGACATCCCTGAGCTTATCTGACGGTTGAGCAACATGAGCTATAAGTAGTTTGGTCTCCATGTTCACATAAATACCGACTTTCTGTGTTGTGTGTGTGAATACTTACAGAAAGCACCAAAAGTCAAGTCTAAAATAGTCATAGTGTATCAACAGAGATATTTGATCTAAAAATATTTGCATTTATAAATAGTGACCAGTCCTTGTTCAGGTTTAATGCATAGTACAATAACCCACCACTGTCAGTTTCACAGATGCAGTGCAATGTTGTGTTATAACAGCTGAATATCTAAGTACCTTGTTTCACAGCATTGAAAATATGTGTAGACCGTTTCAAACTTGACAAGATAAACACTGTCAAGTGTTTCGCAGCATATGTGAATAACGTCAGTTAACAGGAAGTAAACATGGACCCCAGCTGTTGCCTGGCATTGCAGGTCCGATTGAAACGGTCTGTATTTGCTTTTAAATATTGAGTGCTTCAAGTGTGTTTACAATTGATCAACATTAAAAATAGCAGCGGTGGCTTGTAGAGGTTCGGCGTGGAGGTTTAGTTTGAATTATTGGTCCAAACTGACCATTTATTGATCAGCAAAAGCATGCAGCAACCGGAAAGGTGCTGAGCAGAGCATGTGTCTCAGTGTTTACATTTTATACAACAAAGCCACCCCTGTTCCAGAGTGCTTTGTTTAAAAGAGACTGATTAAAATTATTCTATTAACAAACTTGTAATGTAAAAATCAGAGACAGCATCCCCTCTAACACCTACATGTTCCTCTTATGTCATTCCTAGTGTGCTGATTAGTGCAATCTGTATCTCCAGTTAAACATCATCAAATCTTTGTCAGAAGGGACACAAAATATTTGGAAATGAGGCTGTAAAATTAGGCGACAAGCACTGACTGTAGGATGCAAATGCCACTGATCACAGCTGATTGCAGCCTCCAGATCAGTCAGTGTGTTTGCAGATTGGCATGAAATCTCAGCGCTGTTGAGGTGATCCACATTTACTGGCAGCTCCACTGTGAGACAGACAGGTGACCTGGAACACCATCAAGGCTTCGCAGACTTCTATCACAGGGACATGCTCGGTAAGGCCTTGTGAGCAGCTGGTGGGAGCTGGATAATGTGAAGTAAGGGTTCAGGAAAAAACAGTGTAGACACAGGATACATGAAAAAAGATAAAACAAACATGACATGTAACAAAAACTCTGGTTAAGTCATCCAGAAACTGCATAGAAGCAGTCTTGTAGCCTCAACCACAATTTGTTGGGAACACTGATGACTTCAACTGTTCAACAGAAAACAGCCCCAGTGCCAGCAAAAAATTTGAGCTGGGAAATGAGCAGGAGGATCTGGGCACTGGTAAGATGGAGGGAAGGTTACCACAGTTCATTTACATAATACCCTGGTTGAAACCGAGCAACTGTAAGTAAGTAATCCTCACATTGAAGAGTAATATATAATGTAATTAAAGGATATCATGTTCTCTTGCTGGAGATGGTTGAGTAGTTTCTCCACAGGTGCATAGCGTCGTAGCGTTGTGGCAGAGCCCACCATCAGCAGCTTGTGTTTAGCTCTGGTGATGGCTACATTCAGGCGACGCCAGTCCTTCAACAGCTCTCCCAACTATGAAAGGAGATGCAGCAGAGAGTCAGATCAGGTTCTCACTCACCTGTTCACTTGCTTATTCCCCCATGCAGAAATGAGGCACAGAGAAAAGAAATGTAGATGGAGGAGTCAAAAAAAAGCAGATGGGAGGAGATGCACTTACGTGTCCTTCCTCTGCAGTGCTCTTGACAAAAGAGAAAATGATCAGACTTTTGTCCCGTCCTTGGTACCTGTCCACTGTATTCACTTCTACACCGGTGAAAGCAGAGGACTGCAGCAGAGCAGAGATGCTCTTTAACTGCTGCCTGTAGGGGGCGATCACACCTATATCACTGGGCTTACACCCTGCCTGGAGAAAGTTAAATGAACAGGGGGTCGAACCGAATAAGTTACACCAATTATTTCACTTTCATTCACTGTATTAAAAACACGTCATGACCCTAAAGCTTATGCCAGGACTTTAAAAACCTGCTGCATGATGACATAAACACTTGAGCATGAATTAGGCAACTGATGTACCTTTAACAGCAGTGACAGCAACTTGTGTATAAGAGCAGCCTCAGTGTGATTGCTTACACCTCCCTGCTCCACAGACTCCAGTGCTGGCACCTAAAGGGAACAGTCGAGAAAAACAAGATGTTGACCAGCACACCTTCGCTGTCTTACTCACAACAACAGCCCCCCCACGCCAAAAATAACCCCCTTTCACACAGATTTCTTTAACATTTGAAACAGCTGACTTAATCCCTTGACCTTTCACCAGAAAGCAGAGCTAATGATGATGTTAAGATCTGCTCTCTCAACTTATTTCTACCCCAACACAGCACATTTGCATCGTATACCAACCATGGAGCAATCTAGGAAGCAAACAGGGTTGCTGGGCAACAAGGTGGCCTGTATCCAATCCAGGTTGTGCTGCGGATGAGTCTCAGAGTAGGACCTAAGCTCTGACTGGACAGACAGCAGGAAGGGCAGGGTGAGCAGGGCCGTGGCTGTCCTCTCTGATCCGCACTCCAGCCGGCCCTCGTACATCAGGGAGTTACTGAGAGACATAATCGGCCTACAAACACAGAGCACACACTGTTAATTATGGAGGGGAAATCTTTCTGTTTGTCCTAAAGATTCCTGCTGTGCTGTTTTGTAGTTGTAATGTGAATAGAATTAAGTTCTCTCTGCAAGGCTAAAGCAAGAGAGAGCGCTATTCACAGTTTCTCTGTCTGAGATCAAAGTGAATTCAGATATTTTTTTTATTCAAGATAATAAAGCATGTACTAATGCACTGTTAGCAGTCAGGAGTTCAAGTTCAAGCAGAGTTAAGAATGGATAAGCACATAATAAACAAGACAAGATGACTGAGGCGTACAGTGTCGAATGTGTATGTAGGTGTACCTATTCATCCGGTACTGAACATTGAGTTGAACCACAGCTTCACCGTGGAGCTCAAGTCGCTTAAATAGACTTTCGTCCATCCCAAGTGACCTGCAGAAAAAAAAAAAAACAGACCAAAATTGATATTTCTATTGACAATGGTAAACTCTGTATTAATAACCAAACTGATGCTGTCACATTTTACATATCACACTTTAACATTAACCATGAAAACTGTCATGTTTTACCCTCATGACAAATGAATACAATTAATGTACTTGAGGCAATATTTTATTTATCATTTTATCAAAATACATCTCATCTACACTCACGCATACTTTACCTAGCCTCCTGGTTTTGTACTATTGGTGGCAGCTGTTGGTGGTCTCCAACCAGGACAAATCTCTTGGCATAGAACAGCGGTCCCAGACAGATGGGCTGACTGATTTGTGAGGCTTCGTCTACGATGCAGAAGTCAAACCGCCGACGTGTGAACAGCGGATGCTTGATGCCCATACAGGTGGTTGCCACTACCAGCTAGACAGAGGGAGAAGATCAGTACTGAGTGGTAGGAAGTTTAGTCATTTTTTAAAATTGTTGTAAGTTACAATATGAATAAGTGACATGTCTATTTTTTCTTCTTTTTTTTCTTCCTTTTTTTTTTTTTTTTTTGGGGCATTTTGCCTTTAATGGACAGGACAGGTAAGCATGAAAGGGAGAGAGAGAGAAGGGGGGATGACATGCAGCAAAGGGCCACAGGCTGGATTCGAACCCAGGTCGCTGCGGCAACAGCCTTGTACATGGGGCGCCTGCTCTACCACTAAGCCACCGACGCCCCATAAGTGACATGTCTTGATGACGCTGAGGTCTCATATCAAATATTCTAAACAACTAAGACCACTGCCTCTGCGAATCTTGTCAAGTTGCAGTTACAGTTTAAATCCATGAAAAAATTCCCTCAAGGTCTTCTTGAAATATCGTGTTCATGAGAACAGGACGAACAGATGAACAAAGCAGCAACAATGCCTCCAGCTGCAGCTGGCGCCAGTGAAGAGGCATAAAAATGTTGATTTAAGCCTATAAAAATCAAAGTTGTTGTGATTATACAGTAATATTCCACAAACTAGCTCCTCACCTCTTTGTTATAAAGCTGCTCTAACTCTGACAGAGTGTGAAGTCCTTTCTTTCTCGCACTTTCCTCTGTGTAAGGCAGGATGTCTGGATGAACCTGCAGCAGGAAATAAGAGAGAAATCACAGCGAGTCAGAGGGGACAAAACACTTTTGAGTTTTTAAAATGTTCTTTTTTTGTTTAACTGTTAAATATTTAAAAAATAATTATATTTTACCATATTACTTTATAACTTTAATATCTAACAGTGATTTGTGCTTTTATGCACATTACCACACGAGAATGCAAATAGCCTTTTCTTAAACAGCTCATATACCTACAGTATGACACAGTTTATTTTAATTGTTGTAAAACAAATGTGGGAAGTGAAGACTTATTTTCTGTGCTGTACACACTGAATAACAGACGTCAAACTATAGCGCACCTTCTGCCCTTGCCCAAGACGCAGAAACCCAACGCGGAAGCGCTTTAGCTTCAGTAGGATGTTGTCAACAGCGGAGTGGGTGTAGCTGGTCAGCAACACACTGAACCCACATGCGTGAAGGATGCGAACCTGAATGAAAAAGTGAAGAAGAGACAAAGAGCAAGAAAGATAGAGAGAATGATGGACAGTGGCACATCAGAAAAGACAGAGGCAAAGGTGGGGTGACAGAGGGTTACAGTTCTGCTCTCACTAGGAAGTATATAAT